CAGTGGACTGCCGTTGCTCCCCTGCTCGCACCTCCCTTGGCCGAGATCGAGTATCGCTTCCGACGCTCCTCCCCCGGCGTTCTCCGCATCTCCAGGGCCAGTTGGTCGTCGACGTTGTTGAGCTACCACGCCAAAACTATCCTCGAGCGACTATCTCGAGGCCGGACGCTGAGTCAGATGACGCACTCCCGGACGAGACGAGCCCTGGCGGTCGCGAATATCGAGCGTCCGATAGCGCGGGCGCGTAAGGGCTTGACGGCGGCGCCGAGCCGACTGAAGAGGCGACACGCACGGAGGCGTCGCGACGCCTCGACTGCCCCGATTCACGCATCCTCGCCTCTTCGTCTCCCAAGTCCGCCAAGCGTTGCCCCGTCCCGCCCCGTCCCGCCCCGTCCTGCCACATCCCATCCCACCTTCGACCATCTCAGTCGACAGCCCATCGATTTTCAGGTGGATGCTGTTGCTGCCGCCGACGCTACCGATGCCGATGATAATCGCGTGGCGGGGAGACTCCTGGATGCGCGCACGCGGTCCGATTGAACGCAGTTTATACGCAGCGGACGGTCAAACTTGACTGCCACCGAGGACGTCAGTGCTAAAGTCACTCGGGACCGGCCGTCCGAGATTTGGCGCAAACTTCCCATCCAAACCATAATCGACCCGTTTACAACAGCAAATACACTTGATATTTATTTACAATGTGACGGAAATTTTTTTTACGAGCAAAAGTTTAAAATTATTCCGAATGCCACTACCATTGGCACTCGATCACTGGGTTACATTATGCATACGTGCGCAGGCGCCCCCCGCAACCACACGTGTTGACATCAACGATTCTGTAGTGATGTATAAATTCGTTTATTTTATTAGCTAATCATAATTTATTTTATATACATATCATATTTATATTTATTAGATAATGATAATTATATTTAACATAGTTTTATAACGAATTTTAATCGTCTCTTTCAAATACATTTGACGGCTTTATTCGCCTTTATTACCAATTACTGCCAATACAAAAATATATTAATTTTCACCTTAATCAAACGGAAAATATACACGTGTTTTTTTACTGTACATTTGACGTTAAATAGTATAGATTAAAAATTCTTTAAAAAAATTTAAATAGTATTTTTGCTTTTTTACGTTAAATTTAATTCAAACTAGAAGACAAATTTATAAAGACAAAAAAATAATAATAACAATTAGTTACTTAATTCTAGAATTTAGAGACGAAATAGAATGATTTATTCTCCGGTGAGTCAGAAGAATACAATACATTTTGATTTCTCAAATCAAATCATATGTAACAATTTTAAATAAATATTGTTAAATTAAATGACTTTTAATTATAAAGATAAATGTAAGGTTGTATTGTCCTTGTAAGTGTCTATTGCTATTTGTACTGGATGAGTATGCGGAAAATGAAATTTAAAACAAAATGCGAAGAAGAATTTTGTTTCGACATTTATGAATAACATTTGTTCGACACATGCATTTTCTGTTCCAAACTGAGCATTCCATTGCTTCTAAATTAAAAAATCGATTTAAATTTTCTTCTATTTCTATTATCTATAAGTCCCCTACATTCAAGCATCAAAAACAAAAACAAAAATAATAATAATAACAATAAAAACAAAAAACAAAACAAACAAAAAAAAAATCAAAAGAAATTTATAAACAATTCAAATACATATACATTATGAATAAATACCGTTAATGGATTGGTATTCTTATAAATAATTAATAATGTCCATTGATAATTTATGGACAATTATCAATAACATATAATATTGGCAATAGAGCTTTAATATACTTATAATAGAACAACCATTCGCAGAAATGAGAAATTTCTTGATTACAAATGACGAAATCATTGAGTATGCAACAATAAAAAGAAAAATGCAACTTTGGATAATTTAAGACGGGGAAATGGGCGCAATTTCTCGTAGTGCATTGAGACTCCGATAATTGTAAGAACGTCGTACATTATATTTTTTCATGCCGCGTAATTTGAATAATTTCAGTTAAATAATTTTACAAGAAAATGTAAAATTAATTTTTTTCTTCTTTTTTTTTTCTTGTCACCTGTAAGCGCTTAAAAGCAATTACCGAATAAATTTATTTTTCAACTTCTCATTACAGAAGCAATGCCAATGGGGGCACGATTATAGAATATTTATCATTTTTATCGTGAAGCATGCCAGTTTCAAAACAAAAAACATCATCGACAAGGCTCGTAAGGCTCGTAAGGCTCGTAAGGCTCGTAAGGCTCATAAGGCTCGCAATGGCCATTAATCAAGAACGACGACGGTCGAATATTCGGCAACGTCCTCCCATTGCTTATTGGCAGAGCTGGTGCAATAACGTGCATGCAGTGTGCAAAGTAAACAAAGACAAACATCCAATGTGCAATGTGAGGATATGCTAGGTATTTATTAAAGCAGGATAAAAACTTTCGTTGTTCAAAGTTAATATCGATCGTTCACGTAAACGTCATTGCATCAGAACACGTTGCTGAACAGAAGAAACATGGTAGTGATTGTGTATTTGTTTTTGTTTGTTTGTTTTTTCTTTTTTTTTCCAAATCCGTACGTCGGCGTGTCTTGAAAAATCAGCGAGAATTTAAAGAGCCGCGGCATGAGGTTCGGCCTCCCTTTGTTTTGCAATGCGAATTCAAAAGAATCAGAGTTTGCATGCTCGCGAGAGCGACTCCTTCGATCATTAAAGCCGGCAACTTACGATCTCCCGGCCTTTTTCATCCTCGAAAAAAGGTTAGAACGCGCGAGAATATCCTGCGACGTTCTGCTCTTGGTCTCCATGGTCGGTGAAATGTTTGACTTACGTTGCTAAAAAGGAGCCTCTCCTATGAAAGAGGAGAGCCTTCGACTGCGCCGTACGAGCGATCAAAGGGGGGAGAGGTTGGCCGGAGCGAATTGGGCTGGAGCTGGGAACCACGGGAAAATCAATGAAGCCGAGAGGAAGCGATCGACGGGGACTCGCACCGGGAGTCAGCGCAGGCGGACCACACGTGCCAGGATGGGAAGGGACTCCTCGCTGGTAAATTAATAGGAGTGTGCGTGGGACTGCGGCAACTGGGGCGCGACTGCGCGGCAAGAGGCGGTAAAATCGGTCGAGGGCGAGTGGAAATGGAAGCGCGCGAGCGCGCTCGCCTTTAGAATCGGCGAATATTACCTTTCTCGCGGCTGGAAAAACGTCAAGTACGTCCGACCATATAAGGAAACTCGCGTGCAGTCTTTCGCGCGCGCGCGTTCCCTCTCTCTCTCATTCCCTCCCGCGCGCACGCGGTCGCTAGCTCAGCCGTGCACACACGCATACGCGCGGTTTGCAAGCTCTTTCTGGCGGGCAATCGGTGCAGGCGTGCGAGACAAGGAGCGAACGAGTCGGCGGTGGAGGTGCGCGCGGCAGAGCCAGACGTCGCATCCCAAGGGGCGAGGCTGGACGGCCAACGAGACAAAGAGTCGTGCGCTCTTGCTCTTGCTCTTGCTCCAGCTCTTGCTTTTGCTTGCCTCCTCTCTCGCCCCCTCCCCTTCCCGCACCCCATTGCGTTCTTTTCTCTCTCTCTCTCTCTCTCTCTCTCTCTCTCTCTCTCTCTCTCTCTGGCTCTGACTCTAGTATTGCACAGCAGGCTTGTTCGGACGCACGGACGCACGGACGCACGGATGCACGCATGCACGCACGCACGCACTCGCGCCAATACTCGCACTCGCATTCTCTCTCTCTCTCTCTCTCTCTCTCTCTCTCTCTCTCTCTCTACAACCATCCATCCATCCATCTATCTATCTATCTATCTATCTATACATCTGCCTGTCTGTCTGTCTCTGTCTCTGTCTTGCTCTCGTTCTCTCTCCTTCTCTCTGTCGTACTCTCGTACTCGGTCTACTCACCGAACTTTGCGGCGAGCTGGAGACGCTCGGCGAGCGCTGCACGGTTACGAGGGCCATCGCCAATCAGGCGGCCCGTCGACGACGCTCCAGCGCTGACTGGACACTCGCGGCTACACTCGCGACGGCTAGAGGACCGCGAGATCTCGCGCTCGACGTCGGCCGCTCGGTCACGGCTGCAGCGTCAGGAGCACCAGGATCCCATGTTATTTTTCCCGCACGTCGAACGGCATCGCGCTCCGGGCAGCCATCTTTACGTACACACATGCGAGCCGACGGTGCTGTGGCGGCAGGAGGACGAGGAGGCGGAGGAGGTGGTGGCAGCGGCGGTGGCGGCGGCGATGGCTATTGGCGAGGGGCAGGGGGACTCCCAGCCACACTCACTCATACACTGCCATTGGAACGGTCGACGGCTGAGCGCCGATTCCCAGCCCAATCTAGCGCCACCTAGCCGCGGTTCGCGATACGAGCCGACGAAAGTCGCACCACGCGCGGCCTTACCCGGCCGGCACCTCTTCGTTTTACCTTTATAATGCATCTTCCGTTGCCATCCTCGAGCGCAGCCCCTAGTCCTTTATGGCTATATCCGCCTCTTTATTGTGATATTATAGCTTTATGATTAGTGAAGTGATTAGTGAAAGACGAGGCCACCCGATTAATGAGTAAGTAAACAGGACGTTAGTTAATCCTTATGATTAACCACGTTGCTGCGTTGTTTTACCGACTGATCAACCCGACGATTGTCTCCTTCCCAATGCCACTTTTAATGAATTTGTTTGTAATGATATCGAGGTCCGGCCAAATGTCATCCACACAGTAATATTTTGAAATGTCAATTGTACATATGATTATTATGATGTATATAATGTTGATAATGTTTTGGTATAAAAATGCTTTACATAAGAGTTTCGATGGATGCGTGGAAAAAAAGAAAATTGAATTAGTGGTTTTGAAAAATTTTATTTTTCCCGATGTAAGCAGTGTCGCCATCACACAACATGAGTTAACAGGTTAGGACTTTCGAATTATAATAACCTATATCTCCCAGCTTGTATTTTCTGTCTATTTACATCACATATTGCAGTATAATTACAATATAGTTCGATCAACCACGTCAATTTTACTATAATTTCAAGGAAATTTTAATAGAACGATAATAAAAATAGACATCGAGTCAACATAAAATAAATGAAACGTTATTCTCATTTATTTTGCAAAATCATAAGTGAGTAATACCATTTTTTTCTGTTACAAATTCGAGTTCTACAAACAATTTTTATCGTTCACTTTGAATGTCATTTGTCAATGTTTAATTTGTGTACAGTATTATGATGTTATCGATTAACTAGCATTTTATACTTTTTTTATAAAATAATTCCTTTCGATATTTATTATAATTTGGATTTTTTAAAACAATATATTTCCAGTACCATATTTCACCTACCAGAGCAATAATCCCAATGATATAGCCAAAACCTAAGGCAACCACTGCACCTTGAAGTTTATCAAGATCGACTAGTAATTTTTGAACCGTACCTTCTTGGCGTAATTCTAGTATCTTAGATTGTTGAGTAATATCGCTCAACCACTTTTTCACAAAGCCAGCTTCCATGATACGCTTAATCTAAAAGCATGGAAACTGTCTGTAGACTAATTGACAATATATTAGGTAATGCAATAAATACAGAAAACTCACCAATTTATCAACGGGACCTTTTAACGGTGAATGTTTATCCATTCCAAGAGAAATTGGCATATTTATTACACATTCTTCCATTATGTGCAGATTATGTTCTAAAAATTTGTGCTTATTCTCTTGACTGTCATTTTTTTGCAATTCCACTTCCAATATTTGTCGTTTAACTCTTTCGTACTTTAAAACATGTACATTCTCATAATAAGACAGGGTTCCATTAGCAACAGCAGCAATCGCATCTTGTTCATCCATTGTAACGATAAACCTATTACTAAGTCTTTGCAAATTTACATCGGAGGAATTTATAAAAAAATCTTTCATTTCATCGCTCCAGCTACCAATAACCGTTGAACTTTTGACTAGTTGTGCAATGGTATCGATAGTTACTCTGCCAATTTAAAATTAAAACCAATGATACATTAAAATGACTTCGTGTTAATTATGTTACATAATTAAATTTATTAAATTTATTAAAATTAAATAAGACATTTTCATACAAAATATATCCATGAGCACTCGATTAATAATATTAAATTCTAAATAAAACCGAAGATTAATAATTGTATTTAATTGAAAATCAAAAAAAATCTCAAAGTAACTTTTCCTTCTCGCATAGACCAATTTTTATTACAAACGATTTTATTATGCCACTAATACTAGGTACCGACATTTGTTCATTTTGAAACTTTAAATAAAATTATTACAACGTGCTATTATTTATTCTTATAAAATAAAATTCTCGTTACTTTAATCAATTAAATTAATTGATTAAAAAATCTGATAACTAATAATCTATAGTTTTCCATGGGTGTAGAGGAAGGGGGAGGGGTTAACGATTGGTATGCGAATGCGAGTTCATAAATGCGTGTGGGAATGATGATGTCAAAACGAACTAAATTCTTTAAACTTTACAACTTTTGTAAATTTAATACTTGAAATGTGTAAAGAATATACAAAAAGGTAAGTAAAAGTAAATATATAATAATTAAATGCTACAATCATTGTTATTATTTAATAATGGACATTTATAATAAATTACCTTATTAATCTTAAGTGATAAACTTACTTAGAGGCTCAATTATCTCATTATTGTTATTTTAAGAAAGTTATTTTGATTTTTATTATATTCCTACCATCTATTGTGGCTTGATTTACGTAAAAATTTCAATAATATATTAATATTTATTCGATTTACTCAAAATATAATGGGCATCTCATAAATGTCCTGTGCATTTATAAATCTTAATAAGAAAAACTCCGTTTTAATATTATTCCTATACATGATTATATCATGAAACTTAATTTATCCATTTAAAAGACTCTGAAGAATTTCGGGATAACAAAAATCTAACGAAATTGTTTTATTTAATGTATTAAATACTTTTTCTAATCGAATATGCAAACAATCAGATAACTTGTACTTAAAAGCGTTCAAAATATTTATAAATACGGGAGTTTCAACGTTATTACCTATCAATCGAATTCGCAAGACTTGCCGTCATACTTGCTCGATAAGTTACGGTAATTAAAATTGTAAAAATCCACCACCATCCTATCAATATACGAAGAGACCAAGCACTTGGCAATAATGGCAATGAAACTTGAAGTAGCATACTCAATGTATATAAAATACAATTTTGTAGCTCAGTGAAAAGATACAAGCCACTGTATTCTTCAACTTTTCTCGATCTTGCCTTCTCGAAAACTGTAAAATTCTTTATATCTAAAGCCATGCTAGCAGTATTTAATTCATCCATTGATTTCATTCCAATACCAATATGGTACTTGTAAAATCGTGAGAACATGAAAAATGTTATGCTAGCCGCTAACAATGTAAAAATCACCGCTATCCACGTGTACAATCTATTAATTATTCTTTATATAATAACGATATAACGTAATGTTTAGAGAAATATTCAATTGTATTATATATATGTATATGTATATATATATATATATATATATATATATATATATACACACACATTGATTCAATTAATAATTAAGTCTTTTCTAAAAGCAATATTTTCACCTAAAGGGCAAGATGAGTAACTTCCATGAATTTTCCGTGAGCGATTCGAGCGTCAGGAACGTCAAACATTCTGTATTATATGGCCATGACAAATCCAAAAGCTCAAGATGTCGCATAGTGTAGTATAAATCTCCAAGATAAAAAATAGCGTTTCTTTTTTGAGTTTCTCCTAAAATTCCTGTGAGTGTTCCATTTTTAATGTCGCCCCATCTTTCGTTCTTAATATTGTGAGGTTCATAAAAATATGGCTTGAAATTCAAAACATTAGCTATGATCAATAACATCTGAAAATTAACTCATCCTTGATTTAATCGTAATATCAAGCCAAAATCATATATTTTTCTTATAATAAACGTTTTATTATAACTTAAATTTGATAAAATTACGATATTATAAATTGAAATTATTTTAAATTACTTGTCAATAATTAATTTTTTGCAATTTAGAATGATATTAAATGGTAAAGTGTTATTATATATTTAAACATATCATTTTAGATTTTATTTTAATTTAATTAAATGTATTGAAATCTTTTATCGAAATTAAATTTCAAGCATAACTTACGGTACTTGTACAATTGTTAAAAGTATTACTTATAATATGCGTGCGCGCGCGCGTGTGTGTATATATATATATATATATATATGTACGCGCGAAATAATTATAAAAAAAAAGAAAATTGAAATGTTAAGTGGATTATTGATTAATACATTATAATATGCTAATATTAGAAAGTAATATTATACATGGATGTTATAAATTTTGTAAAATAATTATAACAAAATTAGTATTGATTTCTACCAGTTATATACTCTTAGCGAGTTTTTTTTTTTTTTCAAAATCATTAAATAACCTATGAACTAAGCTATCAATAACAAATTTCATATAATCTTTTCTGTTTTTGCCGCGTATTATTTAAAAGTGAAAATACACACAATTGCATAAAATTGAGGTAAATGTCCTATTCCTATTCGTATAATTTCTTTTACTAAATATTATTTGCTATTATTGTTGTTTAATAGTGCTGTTGATATTGTTAATATGGTTATTATGAATTAAAATTCTTATATTCCGATATAATATTACTAACATACTATATATTGCATTTTTGGTATTCGTAAAATGTGATTAACTTTTCATCTTCCATTTTCTTTACTTCTCATTTTATATATTTGAATTTAACCGTAGAATGTAATAAAGAATCAAGCAAAATGACTCATTCATCAGCATATTATTGTATATTGAAGAACGTTAAGTTCAATATATTTTAATGAATATAATATAAGTAAGAAATTTAATTAAAAAAAGCAAACTCCAATTATAATTAAATTTAAGATAAATTAGAACTGCATATCACTGATGGGCAATTTGTTTATTATATAAATTAAGTGATTCGAGTGATTAAGTAGCCGAAAGAAGATTAAATATCATAAATATCAAAATAGTATTTAAGATAGTGTTTTTATAATTTGTATAATTTATAATAAGTAAATAAGATATTTTATTCAAATTAATTATTAAATATAAGTTACATTATGGTGATAATTAGTAGATCTTATTGTTAATATTGGGTTAATGTTCAAGATATTTAGTATAGAAATATATAAAATTATCTGACTTAATTATAACTTGAGATCCAAGTATAAATATTAACCATAATTTATATATTATTTTACGACTTTTAATGTCTCAAGAAATATGAAGACATTTTTATTATCTGGATAAGACTTATCTTGTCTATTTAAAAAAAAAAAAAAAAAGTAGATGGATTTATTAATTTGGATTATTCCTATTGTAAAGAACTGAAAGCAGAATCAAAGAATTTGTATTTAACAGTAATTGAATAAACGGTTTGAATAAAATTTCAATCAATTATCATAAAAAGAAAAGTTAAAATTTGCTTAATTTAGTCGAAATATCAATACTGATTTCGTTGTTATTATTATCTAAAATCTATAGCATATAATAATAATTTATCCTAATATTATATTATTATTAAAGAAATAATGAAAATATAATAAAACTGCGCAAAGTAATTTTTTTCTTTAAACCTTTATCAAAGGTTGTTTTTATAATTACGATAGAATATCTCTTCGGATTTTTTATTTGTTGATTGATTCATTATATGTTGTTAATCATAATATATAAAAGAACTTAGAATAATAATAAAACTTTTATAGTAAAAGCAGATTCATCTATAACTTACTTCAAATTCAATTCCCAAGGGCTTAGAATTAGCATTTATTCCTTTTTGGCTTTTAAAATAAGATTGGGCATCTGTTGTTACTGCAGGCAGATGTTCAAATACTGCCACACTAATATTTTAATGTACATTTATTAATATTTATAAGCTTAATAATTTCATGAATAAATCGATAGCATATTTCAACAAAAAAAAAAAAAAAAAAAAAAAATTTGCAATATTAATATTATCATGAACGCATGCACTTATATTTATCGATTAAACGTGTATGAATCTTAATACGATAATATGAATTAAAATACGATTAAACAAATTATTTCATTAATTTGTATATACAAATTTTTAAATGAGAAATTACACGTGAAATAAAAAAGATATAAAGATAAAATGAATGGATTTTAATTAATTTAATACCTGATAAAAGAAGCTAGTTTGTTAACTAATTTTTATATTGTTTAAAGTTGAGGAGGAAAAAAAAAAGAAAAGAAAATTAATAAAATTATAAGCAAAGGGATTTGTTCGTAATGAAAATACATAAAATTTCTAAAATTTCGTTCGGAAGCTTAACATTTGCCATTATGCTTCTACAACAAACCGCAATTTTTGTTTCTTCAGGTCGTCTATTTTCGTGGAAAAGTGACTAATTCCATAACGAAATCTGTTTTGGTACCAAGTATCGATGTATTTCGTAATCACCAAACCTTTCGTGCGCGCTGGAAAAGGGATCGTATTGAGATCATACCATTCGTGTTTCAGCAGTTGACTTTTTGAATGGCGTTTGAATTCAACGTAATGGCGTAGAAAAATTACATTGATTATTCTGTTCCACAAATACCGCATATCCGTATGAAAGATACGAAAATCGTAAATAAGCAAAAACTTCCCTTGCGTACTAATAAGTCGTTCCCTAAAATATGAAAATCTAATTTAGTGGAAACCGTGGGCTTATGTAGTAATGTAAATCGAGCTTACAATTTTTTTATTAAATATTAAGTTAGGCTTCCTTGTCTTCTCTTTTTAAAAAACTCTTAAAAATATATATTTTTCTTTCAGAATTATTTATAGTCAATAAAACTCGAACGTATTTCATATCGTTAAAAAAATATATAAGTATAGTAGTAATATGATATTGTATTATTGTTTATTTTGTTTTGAAAAAACGATTCTACCATCATTAAGGTCAAATGGCAAATTTAACCAGATTAAAAAAATCTTATTGGCATTCTAATTTAATTGCATTAAGAATATAGGAGGTATCTTTATAATTAGTCTTATTAAGAATTAATGGATCCATGTATTAATCACGTGTCTAACATTAGTTAATATAAAATGGTTAGATATGATAATCGAAATGGAAAAGTACTTCGATAAAATTAAATTTATACCGGATGTGAGATTATTCTTCAAATTTAAATATCCAGTTATATTGATTACAAACAATAATTGTATGTAACGCATATACTTCTCGATTTATGGAAGACTTTTTATATACTATTCGAGTTTTTTAATATTGAACATAGTAAAATTATCATTATAATTATTACTAATGGCATAGCCGATTTTATTATCTTCAATAACGTTATTATATTACTTTTATAGTTATTAATATAATAAACAATTTATAGTTTACTGTTTATATATTATATTGCAATTACATACTTGTAAAACATGCTGTTTATTATTATTATTTTTAATATGATATAGTAGTAACTTATAAATGAATACAGAAACTATTGTGTGATTACGAATAATTGTCTTTGTATTAAATATCATATAAAATTGTATCGGGTTGTTAATTTGATTGTTAATTTAAAATACAAACATATAAATAACCTTCAATCGATTTAAACATAATGAATAATACAATCGATCCTACAATGCCTAAGATGCTTAACTTTACAAAGTTAATTTTCGTAAACGTAATTTTCTGACTAAGGCTTAAACATCATTTATATAAGCGATAATTTTGATATTGTTATTTACTAGAAGAAATTATACAGAATGCATAATTATTTGAAAGAAGTATAAATTCTTTTCATTATAAATGGTTAAATGAATTATATTGGATCTACTTACTCTTCTGCGTATTGAAGAAAATTTGCGACCTGTAATCCATTTGCCATAAAAATAAGGTAAACGTCGCAACCTACGTACTTACTTTCTTTTAAAATTTGCAGCAAACGTTTACGAGGAGGAGCAAATTCTTCGTTATCACGGATCAAAACCTTATCGAAAAGTATTGTTCTATATTTTCTATTCACATTTAAACTACAAGTTGAGAGTACGTAGCTATTATTTTTAACGCTAAGCGCTTATTACAGCGACATTTTTCTTTTTACACAATTAGAAATTTTTTAAATAAACATAACGATATATCAGAGCGAATTTAGTAATAACTAGAGTGCGTTTGACATATGCTAATAGATTGATATTGTTATAATTATACTTACCCTGTACATTGGTAAATAATTATTAGCTATTATCTGATTTACGTCAGCTTTTCGTCGATAATAAGTATCCATCATTGATACAATACACTGACTGTTTTCAGCAAATTCATCTATCAGCACTTCGATCAATGTTTTTAATTGTTTATTTGAATTTGTATAAAAGAATCTGTATTATGTTAAAAATATCGATTAATTTTAAGAAATTATAATTACGTATAAAGGCCGCCACAATCTAAATATCAAATAACCTTTTATTGTCTGCAAATGAATGGCCAAGTATACAAAAAATTATTGTATTTAATAAGTACATCTTATGCAGTCACAAATATACAATGAATAACTTTATTTGCTCGGTTTATTTTGCAGTAAATGAGCTTGTGTCAGAAGACTCACACCAATATAACTATATATACAGGTCAAGCAATCTTTTATTTAGTCTACGTTGCATTTTTCAATATCTAATTTGCATCGAAACTATTCCAAAGTATTTAATTTGTATTTCTTTTTCACCACGATTTGTTCGTCTAAGGTATTTTATAAATAATACGATGTTCATATTAATTATGTAGAGAGTTAAAATTGTAACCGGTAGCTTAGAAATAGAAAATTTATATTCACAAAGTTTAATCATTTTTATCCATTTGGATATAATAATTGCTAATTATACTAAATATCACATAGGATTTTGTAATCTTATAAGAACAATCCAGCTTTTATAATTAAAATGCATACGAATAAGCGAATTTCATTTATAAATTATGTATTTTTCAAAATATCACACCACAACTTGAGTCTTACTATTCATTTATTACTATTAACATTTAAATTATTAAATTTGAAATGAAATTTTTTTTTCATAAATTCACAAAACAACCTTTAATTCAATCTATTATCATCTATTCAGCTTCATTTTATAATTTCGACTGCAAGAAGTTTGTCTTTATAATCTATTCGCTATTTCTCGACGCGTTAATTTTCAGAGTAATGTAGATAATATTTTCATGTTAATGGCGGAATACTAGTTTTTAGCTTTTTATCGTAACTTTAAAATGAGGACAACTGATACTACTTAAATACGAAAAATTATCAAATATTGATTGAATTTTTGTTAAATTTACATTTTACGAATAAGATGTCACTATACAGAATTATATATTTGGTATATTAACAAGAATTATTCGATAAATAAAATGTTATAATTGAAATGATTAGCAAAAATTGAAATAAATACGTCTGACACCTTTCCTTCGTAGAAAAATTAACCTCTTATAAATGTAATGCAGAATCTCATTGTGTGTGATCATATATGAAAAATAAAAGATCGTGCATGTAATTTTCATTTACACTATCAGAGGTATTGGCAAAATTTAAATAATCCTAATTAAACAAATAAGTTCATTTTATTAGAATGAAATGGTAAAAACTGTGTAAACGTATTTTAGCGAGAGAGTTGGAAATATTCTTCGAACCCGAAATTATATATATATATATATATATACATACAACTCGCTTTTCAATTAATATTTTACACTTTGATTAATATACTCATATAGACATATATATTTAGATGATTTTCGTGATTACTTTTCGCGATAACTGTTCGTAGTGCACTAGATGTTAAACATGTACAGAGGAAGTATATTTTACTAATTTTTATCGTGTTTGTTAAAATTTCATTTTACTTGTGTATAATTTTATTTAAATAAGATTTCGTATAACGACAAGGGAACTCGAAAACCAAATTTCGCTTTTTTCTTTTATTGTGTTTTCGCCCCCAACTAAATTTTCAAGTTTATATAAATAAACTTAAATTATAAATTACTGGAATTAATTAATAAATGCAAACTATGATAGAGATTTTTAATTTTAACAAACAATCATCCAAGATATATGTATGTGTATATATATTTATATAATCATAAAACTATATACACATAAAACAATAATACCCGTTATGTTTTAAATAAGAAAATAATGAATATCATAAAATTATTATGGCAATTATCATTGCCACTTTAATGATAATTAGAAATCTTATTATTTATTATTTAGAACAATATTTTCCTACTACAAAAGTTTACTAAACAGTATAATATAGAATATTAATAATATTCATAATTATAGATTTACGTGGAGATATAAAGCCTTGATTTTTACAAGAGAATAATGAATTTGAAAAAGTAATTTTTAATTAATCATTTTTATATACTAATCTAAACATAATGAAAATGTATATAATTTCAAATTTTATTTTATTTATCGTAAGCAGTAATTTTTATCTCAATGAAAGATAATGAATAGAATAAATTTTTTAATTTATAGTACATGAATTTCTTTTTAAATAACGTAGAATGATAAACTTTGTATTTTAATACAAATAAATATTCGTTATATATATTTATCGCGATACTTTATTATATTGAAATTAAGATAGAGAGAGAGATAGATAGAGATAGAGAGGGGGGAGGGGGGGGGGAATGAAATAACTACAAGTAAATTGAAAAATTCCATTAAATATATATTATTTATCATGTTTTGTTTTTTCTCAGAATTAAATGATTATTATCTATCAAAATGTAAGTAATTACACGCGTTGATGAAACGTTGATATTTTTAAAATGCGAAGAACAAAGAACAATTCCAATTGTCAAAAACTGCAGCAATTATAACCGCATCTATTATAAAATAAAAGCGGATATTTTAATCAATAATGCGTTGTAAAGATCGTGGGCGGGATCATTCAAATTAACCATTCAGCCACTTAAATGTAAAATAAATAAATGTACGAAAATTGATAAGCACGCTACATGTACATTTCAACATCGTAGACGTAAAAAATGTTTCAGTCTCAAATGAACCGCCGATTGCTGTATACGAAAAGAGTGCTCTAGAATATTCTCCTGCAGTTCATTTACAAGAGTTACGCTAAATAATTGATATTGTTGTTATAATTTTTCGCTATTACAAAATATAAATGGGTACGAGTACCTTTACATTGTGATATTTGTCTAATGGCGATAGTTGTGTTGACGTTTGTTTATAATAATCTTAAGTTAAAAGTAAAAAAGCATTTCCTTACGAAAGTAATAATTAGTAAATGTGATTGAATATTTTATCAAAATGGATAATGGCTCTTCTAGTTCGATATTAATAAATATTGTTAATGAAGAAGCATAACTCCCCTTTATATATTTATGAGAATATTTTAGATTCAAAAAGTACACAAAATAGATAGTTATTCATTAGGAAAATAATATAAAATAACATACTTAATGATTAAAATCTCAAAAAAATATATATATATTTTTAAAAAATAATACATTTGATTTTCGTAATTTTATGAAATTAATCTTTTACACAATCTTTTTATGGTAAATAACAAATCCTTCATCATTGAATATATTACAGTTATTAATTAAATATAACATTGTAAAATGAGTTGAGTTATGAGCTAATAGTCAATATAATAGTAATTGCATATAAGTAAAATTATAAATGTTAAACAAAAAAATTCAGCATATATTTTTGTCATTGTTATAACGCTTAAAACAATAATCATTTAAATATATCAAATGAATGTATCAACACATTTCGTCTTAATAAAATATTCAGGCACGATTATGTTATTATGAAAAATTCCGTAAATTTCAAATGATATTACGAGAAAGATATTTTTAAAAAGTAAATAAAATATGAATAATTTATAGAGGAAATAGAATAATTAATACAACATTTGTACATACTATAGTCGAATAAGATTAATAGTACTTCGTTATATTGATTGCTTAAAGCTACAATAATTTATTTATTAACGATTTTCTTCTCATCTCAAAATATCTCTCTTAACAAGCTGAATAAAAATATGCTTTATCTTGTAATTTTATTAGTATAAAAAATGTTAATATTTTAAGTAACCGAGACGAAAAAAGTAAAGTAAAATGCGCATTTAAAAGGATTTTTAATAATCTTTTTTTTTTTCTTTTAATAAAATTTCATACCTCTGTATACATATATATTTATAATGTTCGGTAAAAAAGGAATTTGTTCATTTCTATTTTTTTACATTTTAGAACTCCTATGAAAATCCTAAGTTTCTCAACGATCGTAATCTCGCCTGTTGTATCTCGCGTTGTATCCGTCAACAGGTTGTTGACCGCTAAGTAATGCGCTTAACAAAAACAAAACAGAATCTGCGAAAGGAAACAGTGTCGCGGTAGGTATGCAAGAGATTAGAGATTATGTTAATGAGGAAGGGAAATTAGCGGTGCGTTTAGTGAAATACCAAATACATAGGTGCAAATAATGTACGTATTAAGTCGGAATATACAACATCAAGAGCTTATTTACTATTTGGATTTATATGATTCAATACTAGCATAATGAAAACGTAATTACAAATGCATTTATAATACTTAATGAGTAGTGGTAATTATGTCTATAGAAATGCGTGAAATTAAATAGAAGCTATTCAACGTTAACACTATGTACTCCAATGATTTTATACGGCGATTTGCAATTTTGCTTTAATAGTACATTTTCTATCGGCCGACTAAATATGGGAGACATATTTTTGAATATACAGAGATATTGTCAAAAACTAGCGATACTGTCATTATTAGTCGTCTTTGCTCTCTTGATCCTTAAAGCAAACGTCAAATTAAAAGCTATTTATGCGAAATAAGAAACTCACTATAAGAAATACGCGGGGCAATATACTTAATATATATTTAATAAAAAAAAAAAAAATAGAAAGGGTATTATTTTTCGCATTACCACATTTCGTGAACTTAATTTGAGTAATGAAAAAAACAATCAGTCATATTACATTCTCAGAATATCAATTCACTTTATTCATATTTATTCATTGTTATTGTATTGATGTATTAACAAAAAAAAAGTTACCTTGTAAATATATTTATAGTATTCAATTTAATTTTTTTTTTTTTTTGTTTTTTTTTTTTTTTTTATAATTTATTTAAACATATGCAATATTCTGAAGTTCATTTCATTATGTTATTCGTTATAATTATCCCTGACTATAAATAGATTTAATAAAAGCAATTGTAATCGGATAATTTTATAAAACACATGAAATATTATATTACACATTGTAGTAACACGCATTGAACCGAAATTATTTTACATATTTTGCTTACTTAGATAATTCAAAATTTATTCGTAATCAGTTATACAAAATTGCATATATGCAAATCTCTCATTCGTTCGAATTAATATTAATAGTTTGGAATAAAATGTCACATAGCCTAGACAATTAGCGTTAAGAATAGAATTACTTTTATACACAAATTCGTTATAAACATCAAACGAAATAAATTTCACATAAATAAACGTAAACTTATCCTTACATAAACTCACGAAATACAGTAGAAGGGGAACTCTCAGCGTTATGAAAGATACGTAGATTGCGAAGTGCAGTAAGCCGTGACATAGCATTCGTTGATGTACTTATTTTTTTGAAATTTGCTTAGAGGAGCAACAATTCCATGACGTTTGGTTCTTTTAAGATTAAAAAATAAAACCATTAAATTTTGTCTTATTTAATTGTAGAGACATTCAGTTTTATCACGCGAACAATAGTCGAGTTTAAATTTTTAGCTAAAGTACAAAAGATCACAAATTTTTATGCAGATGACGGCTTTGGATATCAAAGCCATCGTATCTAAAATCAATCACTCCTAATAATTAAAAAAAAATTTTTTAAATAAATCCTACCCGTTTATTTTAAGAATATTAATATATCAATAAAGTTTTAGATCTTTTAAAAGAATTAACATTCATTAGTTTAAATTAAAAATTTATCATAAATTTTTAATAGACTTTTTGTTTACTATTTCAGATTTCCAATGAGAAACGTTGCAATGATAAAGAATTTAATATATGATGTGGCGAAAGGTCCATTGGATATTTATCGAAAAAAAGCCAGTTTCGATTGGAAAACATTGAAACTACATTTTGATGGGCCAGATTCTATTCAATTTCAAGTAAACATACATATATATATATATATATTTATAATTTGCAAATTAAAATAACCAGCATGAATTGGTTAATTAATACGATTTATAATATTTTTCTTAATATTGGCAATTAAAATCGATAAGAAAAATTTCTTTAATGATATATTTGATTTTATACTAACTATCTTATTCGTTAATAATTCATTAGTTTATGTTTTTATATTTTATTTCAATTTTTCGTTAAAATATATATTAACATTATGTAACATTATATATAAAATCATAAGAATTAAAGTTATAACTCGAAAAATAAATAGAATTTTTCACGATACACAGGCTCATCCCATAAAATTTTCTTCGACATTGTAAATTAATGAATCCGTTGCATACGTAGATACAGCAATCACAAAGTATAATTATGTTTGAACTCGGTATGAATGTGATTAACATTATGTTTCAAGAAAATTAGGTTGGCAAACATCGATAAAAATCAATATCTCTCAAAAACTTTATTCAAATTCAATAAATTAATGAGATAAATGAATGGATTAATTTGAGATTATCAATCTTCATTCTAAAATTAATATGCAATATTAAATAACGTCCCCGTTAATGTTTTATTTTATTACTCAGACTTTAAACGAGAATAATATTATTAAAATATATATATATATATATATATATATATATATATATATATATATATATATATATATATTGCTCGATATCTAACTTAATATCGAATAAGTATTAAATAAAAATCGAGTAAATAATATCGAACAAAATAACTATAAGAAAACAATATATTGAAAAATGTTGAAGCACGATCTTTTATTACTTCAATATTCCTTAAATAAACCGTACGTATTGCGTATGGAACGATAATTATAATTATATTTACAGAAATATGAAAGCCTATACATTCAACATCAGATCTTGACTATTTTAAAATATTAAAACGCAAATGGAAAAGTAACGAGCACTCTGCGACTATTAATCTGACGTACATACAATTTCGAATTGCGCCTCTGCCTTTACTTTGACGGATTCATACGATCATAAAAGCTTAATCTTTATTATATAATGCTTAAATGAACGAAACTCGAATATCTTTTAGATACGTACTATTGATAATATATAAACTAGACGTGCGATATATGAAAATCAAATTATATACTTTTAATATTAAGTAACAACTTGAATGTGACAACGTGTTAAGTTTATCATTTTAATGAAAATAATTATATAGATTACTATAGATTACTATAGATATATTATGATAAATTATTATAAATTATTCATTTATCTAAATTAATTAAAATTATTAAAATAATTTTCTTATTAATATTGTGCATTTAATCGCTTATGAGATTAATGTAAGAAATTTGTTTTTAATTATTTTAAAGAAATTTAACAAAAGACTGTCTACTAATATTTACTTACTGTAATGTTATAATAATAAAAAAAAAAAAAAAAAAAAAAGAAAGAAAGAAAGAAAGAAAGAGATAAAAAGTTATTCAATATCTGTAAAGGTATTTATTAAGGTAATATTATCTTAATAAATATATTTGTATATTAGTGTACTCTATTATTTTAATACTTTTTATACTGCAAATTTTTACTTGTCATTTTGATTTATTAATTTTGTAATTGTGAATTTAAGTGAATTTTACATTATACATATTTTTTATATACTTCGAATTACGAATATGAAGAAAGCTAGAAAATATTGAACAATTCATATAAAGTTTTCATAATAATTTTTAATAGATTCATGTAAGCGAATATTATTTACATACGTTATGATATATTATTATATTATTATAAAAAGAATAGAAGAAAAAAAAAAACAGGAAATTTTCATTCGATTAAAATGATTTATTTTTATTACAGAGCGTTCTGTGGTCCTTCATCGACACTCATCCGGCTTTCAAAAATCCAATAAAAACTTTGACGCTTGACGAACAGAGACGAAGATGTGTCGCACAAATGAATGCCTTGGAGAATAATTCGATATACGTAAGATATGCGTATGTGAATAACTAATATTATATCAACTTAAAAATGTTCTAATAACATGATTTATTTAGAATCAAGATCAAGATCTGATGAACTATTTATTTTTTTACAATCCGTCAGTACCGATTAAACGTGGTGTTATATACGGGATGGTTCCGATAGTCCTAATAAGCTTGGGAACCGAACACCACCTGAAATATTTCGAACAAATAATGGAGCGAAAGGTAATTTATTCTTCGTAAAAAATTTCTAAAAATTGACCTCTGGCCTGCTTAATGCTTGATTTGTCGTGCGATTATAATGTCTATTGGATAGTCGTAAGTAGTGCGGGTAGATTGTCGATGGAATAATGGAAATATATTTTCAGATAAGCTGCTGCTTTGCTTTAACCGAAATGGCACACGGCTCGAACGTCAAAGGTATGCGAACCCAAGCCACTTATGACGCCAATACGCAAAATTTTATTTTACACACACCTGATTTTGAAGCAGCGAAATGTTGGGTCGGTGGATTAGGTATGTCTTTGCTCCTATGGGCTTATTAACGATGCTATTCGTTGTTTGTTGGGACGTTCGTGCAACGAAGGCTTCGATGTTTTCAGCGAAAACAGCAACGCACGCGATTGTTTACGCCCAACTCATTACACCGGACAATGTCAATCATGGCCTTCATCCGTTTATAGTAAAAGTACGAGAGCCTGAAACAATGTTGCCCCTAAATGGTGTAACGATCGGAGATTTAGGGGAGAAAATTGCATTAAACGGAGTGGACAATGGTTTTATCATATTTAATCATTATTCGATTCAGCGAGATTGTTTGTTGAATAAGAGCGCGGACGTGACATCGGACGGAAAGTATTTTACAAGCCTAACGGACCAGAGGAAACGTTATGGTAAGGAGAAAAATATTATATGGGCACGATATCACGTCGACATTAATTATTATAATGATTATCGTAGGGGCGTCGTTTGGGGTATTGTCGACCGGTCGAGTGAGTATCACTTCAATGTGCTCGATATATGCTACTTTAGCCATGACCATAGCAATTAGATACTGTGCCTCGAGGAAGCAATTTGGACAAAATCCAAACGAAGAGTGGCCCACCATAGAATATCAAGTGCAGGTGAAATTACAGGAGTATGTTGCCCGCCCCTACCTTCTTATCAACAATACAACGAATCGTTTACTTTTATAGCAAGGCCGACTATTTCCGCATTTAGGGGCCACCTACGCAATGAGGATATTTTCTAAAAATTTCATCAAGATTATGGGCAAATTTCGTGATCACTTGATGGCGCAAAAGGACGATAGTCTGATATCGGCGATGGGTATGGAAATACACGCGCTGTCCTCGGCGACAAAACCACTTTTTGCCTGGACGGCTCGAGACGCGATACAGGATTGTCGCGAGTCCTGCGGAGGTCATGGATACTTGAAAGGTAATTTTAAATTTTCAACGTTCCGCGGCGTTTATTGATAATTTGTTGTTAAAGAAATGGAATTCGATCGCGCGACTGCCCAAAGTCAAATAAAAATTAATTATCCCTTAGAACCCAATTTATTCTCCACTATTTTATTTTAATGTTAAACGTCACAATCTTTTAATATAAAATAGCCTTTTGTTAATGAATTGAAAGTAGCGTTGTTTTGTTATTTTAGTGTCACGATTGGGTACGATAAAGCAAGAACATGACGCAAATTGTACTTACGAGGGCGAAAATAACGTTCTTATTCAACAAGCCAGTAATTGGCTTTTAAATCAATATTCAATCGTACTTAATGGTAAAAGTATCTTGTCACCCTTGGAATCGCTAACGTTCTTAGAAAATATCGATGACATAATGAAGCTAAGGTTTAATTATCAAACGGTAGATGAAGCTTTACAACCAGAAAGTAAGTAACAATTAAAAGAATTAGTAGATTCATTGTAGAAAAGATTATAATTGCTCGATAAGAATAATCTGCCTTAAATTTCAGATTTACTTATGTGTCTAAGATGGCTTACCTGTTATTATTTAAAAAAAACTTACAATCTCGTTCAAGCACTTAAGAAAAATGGATGCAGTGATTTTGTTGCTAAAAATAATTCACAAGTTTTCCACGCTCGAACATTAGCATTGGTTTATGGAGAGGTACTAATTCAATTTGTTTCTCATTAAATGACAATGATTATCAGTCATCGATATCAGTCATCGATTCTATTGCATTAACAGTAATAATAACAATGATAACATTTAAATTAATGTGTGTATTTAAAAATTTGTAGAATTAATGAGTCCTTTACAAGAAAATTTATAATATTATTATGAAAAATTTAGTCTGTAAAGATTTTATTTGCACTGTTGCTTCTTTACAAGAAAATTTATAATATTATTATGAAAAATTTAGTCTGTAAAGATTTTATAGTTTAAAGTTACAATTTAAAGCTTTACATTTATCCATCTATGCATACATACATACATACATACATACATGCATGCATGCATACATATATATATATATATATATATATATATATACATATATACATATTCATTTACTATCGCAGCATGCCACTGTTCAACAATTTATTAAAAACAATAATGATCCAATATTCGACAACAATGAAAGATGCGTGCTAAATAAATTGAATTGCTTGTATGCTGCTTGGATCATTGAAAAAAAATTAGGTGACTTTTATGCAGGAGGTTATGCATCCTCAAATAGTAATATGGATGTTTTACTTCGCGAGGGTATTATTTTATTATCCAAAGAATTACTAAACGATGTTGTGTCCTTAGTTGATGTACTGGCACCGCCTGACTTTATTATTAATTCGCCATTAGGAATGTCCGATGGAAATGTAAGATAGTTTTAATTATTAACTGAAAATTTTTAAAATTTTATTATTTCAGTATTTAATGAAAATATGTTTTGATAGATATACAAGCACTTAGAAGAATATATTACTAGAGATCCCGATTGCTTTGAGCGTCCAGCATGGTGGAAAGAAATTTTAGAAGCAAAACTGTGATATTTGAATCCATAAAGAATTTAATAAAATTTAAGAGTTTTAAGATATATATATATATATATATATATATATATATATATATATATTTATTTATAAATTTTATATCAATTTTTAAGAAATTTTACATTTGTTATCTGTTAAATTTTTTTGTATATCATTTAGCAATTTAAATATATACATTTTTAATATAATATTTACAGTCTTGAATTGTATTTGATATTTTATTGAGATTATTCGTTATCAATTTCTATTCAATCTCTATTTTATAATTCTGTGTGTTTCCTTTGTTCCTTATGTAAAAATGCTATCTCATCAGCTTCTTGAAACCATTTTTCATAGATTAATTCTGGATCTGTCATCCAAAATTTATGAAATGAAATTGGTTCTTGAGAATCAAGATAAGATATTGCATAATCCGTAGGCCTTGCCTATAATTCCACAAAAACTTACCATTAACAATATTCGTTTAATTATTATTTTTATTATGATAATTAAGCAGTATTATTACCTGATGAAATAATGGCGAATGTGTAATTTTTATTGTCAAATGTGCTAAACAAACACCAAAGAGAAACATATCGTCTGGTGTAGTTGCACTTGGACACTCGCATTCTCTTGAATTAATAATTTCTCGTACGAGTGGGTAAGATAAAATTACACCTGACCCTCCAGTTAAATAATCATAACCATAGATTTTCATTGTTCGATATCCATATCTTTCACCTATGGCCAAAGTATTCTTGGGATTGTAACAAGTTAACAATTTATACACGCGTGACAAACTAAATAATTTGATAAAAAACAATTAATTCTACCACATCTCATATCTAAATGTACATATAAATAAATTTGTATTTTTAATTACCTTAAAATTGTATCATCGTCTGTAATAACTAACCAATCTAAACTATTTTCTTCGAGTATAGGTGCAACATGTTTTAAAATTGCATAAGTTTTTGCACAATGTCCTTGACTAGTATTAGGGACGACAATACCATTTGTTAAATTCCCATCTGCCGATGAAAATATGTTAATGCTCCAAACATAAAAAGTTTGTAATTAATGGTAATCTACCTAATTTGTCTGTAAAAAATCCTATATTGTCTGCATATTTTGTCCATGTTTTACGAAGAATAGAAACTCGTTCGACATGATATTTTGCACAAGTTTTAACAGCGATATATGCATTTTGCGGAGAAGCTATTTTATCCTAAAATACAATGTTAAATTAATTAATTTAAAAGATCATTGTTATGAAATATTTGTATATAATAAGAAATTACACATGGAAAAAATGGTTTAGGGTATGTAGCACAATTTTCATTAGAAACTACGCAAAACTCTGGAGCATGAGTCAAACGAGAACCTTTGCTTTCATTTAAAATGAACATAGAAAATTCATACGATGCATCAACAGAGAAGTCTACTTTATCAGAAACAAACTCCATAGTTTTATTGATTAATCTAAAAATTAATGGATTAAAATAGTGTATTATAATTAAATATAAAATAATATTTATAGATTATTACGCATTTAATAAGTGCTTTGAGATAGCAAAACCAGATGCTAGATTTGGATATTTAAATTTTTTTGTATGTTGTGCAAAATGATGTATTATCGTGGGTTCAGTATCGTACAGCGCATTTCCAATCCATATATTCTGCAAAAAGATAAATAATAAGTATAAAATATCTTTCCTTTCTCTTCAACGTACTTATTAAATAATGTCATTTACAAGAACTGCTTACTCTATAGATATCCACATTATATTTATCTAAAGTATTTAATAGTTTACTTAATCTTATAACTGTATTTTCAGCACAAAATATATACCAGCTTCCCGAAATATTTTCATCTTTTAAATACACGATTAACGGAATTAATGTCCAAGTGCCATAAATATCTAGTTTATGTGTTAAGATAATTTGAGGTGGATCCTTAATTGAAAAATGAACATCGTAATAACAATTAAAATTAAAGTAAATTTATAATTATATCGGATATTATATAAGACTGTCTTATAGAATATTAGATTTTTACTTTTTCTAAGGATTTTGCTTGTTGAATAACATTGGATTTTAATAATTCAGCTTGTGCGGCATTGTACCCTTCCTCTTGACTCAAGATTATTATTACTAAATTTGAAGGCTCTGCGAATTAAAATTTTAACATTCATATATTACATTTGTATGACAATCTCTTGGTAATATACGTCTTATATATTATATATTATAAATAACCTTGCACAGGAAATAATAGATTTGATTAAAAATACTAACCTAGTGCAATAATCGAAGAAATTGCCATTAATGTGCATATGAGAAAAAATTCATACCTAATGTAAGTCATGTTTTTAGCTCCATTAATAAATTAATTCTAAAACATTAAAATGCCAAAAAAACATTATTAAAATTTTCAAACTTAATTTCAAATATAATATGACATATTATAACTTTTGTTTAAAATTACATTGTAACACAAGTAAATATAAAGCCATTAAAATTTTTTTAATTTAACGGTAAATTAGTACTTATTGAACAACAAATAAATAGTGTATTTCGTTGATAGGTGATTAAAAAATTCCTATTGTTAATAGAGAATATAAACGTTCACCTTTTATCGAAATGTCTTCATAATGAATTTAATATTGCCATTATAGCATTAAGATGAACAAATACTATTGAAACTTCATTCGATAATTAATATTATTCAAATACTCGTTCGACCCTTTTAACGTCAATCGTTGTCCGCTGATAATTTGGTACTTTAGTATTCAGGACTATCTGCCTTCATCCTCTGTCCTTGAATAAATGTCCACCAATAAAGGTTTCAATCAAATAATAATGAAGGTGCGAGTAGTTTCAACATCAAATTTCTCCATTTAATTACATCTCTCATTTAACTTGGTGAGTATATTTGTTTTATCTTTTAAATATAAAATGACCGGATTTACTATCATAATCTCAAGCACGCACCCCGTATTTTTTATACGTAGATTTTATAATTCTCATTAATTTCAATTGTGAATTATTTACTTGGGGACAAATGCCATTGCCACGTATTATAAAATATTTAAAAAGATCGTTGCAGTGTTAATGTTGTTATTAAAAAATAAATCTAATTAAATGAGTGAGGCGCATGCGCCAAGTATTCGTAAATACTCACGTAAATTTAATGAATAATTTGCTTGGCGCAATTACACGTAAGCGCGCGAGATTTTCAACAATGTTTTAAACATTTAGGCTTATGCAGTTGGTTGTTTATCGATCGAATGGTAAAAAAAGGAATAATGAGTAAATATCGACGCTGGAAGTCTAAAGTGACGATCGATAAAAAATAGTCAACAGGTACATGATAGTTTGCAAAAAGCATTGGTATATTTACTTGCTTGTAGCTTGAAAAGAACATTTAAATGGCGATATATGAATTTTATAAACAATCTGCAAGAGTTTCAGTCCCGATCGTTTAGCGCAATAAGCATTCACTTCGATCAACTTTTATTTTTATTTTTATTAAAAACTACTCTGATCTTTTATTTCTAATAAAAATCATGATAAATAACAATCTTCTATCACACTTGACGAATTAAGTTCTGAAAAATGTTTAACATCACGATAAAACAGGCACGTACAAACAATGTAATTACAATTCATAATTACAAAACTAACTTTTGCAGTGTAATTTACTATAAATAGTTCGATAGATACAGTTTATTATATCTAATTCTATCACAAACTACAATTTCCAAATTCAAACTGCTACATAATACCACATTCCTGATAATGTTTAGTATCTAAAATATGGGAATAAAATCTAACGAATACATTCAACGTATTTCTCTTTATAAAATTTACAAAAAAAAAACATTGTACAAAACATGATAACAAATATATGATTCTACAAAACTCTTATATCTATATATCAAATATATGTATATAATGATGACGCACAATATACGCGCAATAGCATACAGGCACTTGACATTCTGTGAAAGTAATTATTTCCTCTCATTATACAACGAACGATATTAAACTATTAAAATATCGTGATAAAGGACGTACATTTCCAAAACACTCCACCGATAGGTTGATAAATCCTCCCGCTGTCAATTGTACAGGATTTTGCAACTTCATTAGCAATATTTGTATTAATTTTGATAATTTCGTATCTTTCCGATTAACCGATGGTATCATGTATACAGATTTCCGTATATCTAAACTCTACATTATAATTATAATTATAATTAATTAAATTCAACATTACGACTGATTTAAAGGCATTTAAACGAGCTTAAATTGGTTTGTAATTATAGAGAGCTCATTTTATGAAATATGAGATGTTTTAAACTTTGTCACAATCTCTGGGGACATGCGCGTTTGAAATAACAACAACAATTACAAAACAAAGGCAGTTGGGGTCACCTTGATCGTAAAATCGTACGGTATGAAACTTGTAATTTTACTTTTTCTAATACAACTCGTATGATACAGAAATTCCGACTCTCGCCATTCAAATAAAGTCCTCGACTTATGTATAATATAAGTTTTTGGTTAAATTCATAATCCTTAAACATCTCTTGGGCCGAAAATTGAATAGAATTGAAAAATACTGAGTAGAGAAATAACACTCTTTAAAATTAAGTCAAACCCGATCGATCATTCAATTCAGAATTGGCATCTATGAGGCACTAAAAAATCTGCACTTATCAATTATCTTAACAAAGCTTCTTATCGGAATGTACTTCGAAATACGTAAGAATGTTAACTTACAATACAGAACGAAAATTATTATTTTATCTTTTAAACATATCTAGAAAGAATTATACAAGCGTTTCAAAAGACGGCAATTTCTAGCAGAATTGATGATTATATTGAATAAATTACCTTCGTTCCTTAGAGCTGAACTGCTTACAAAATTTGTATTTTCTTTATTTGTTATAAAATATTTTTATAGATATTTTCAAAATTTATTATTTGATCGCTGCACGTCAAATTTCTTTTTTTTTTTTTTTTTTCTCTTTATCGTTGAAATAAAAGTTGTAATAAAGTTACTTTTACCTCTGGGAGACCAATGAACGTAATGACATATAGACCACTTGAATTATCATTACAAATTTATAAGCAGATTTAGATGAAATATTACCAGCGATAATTTTAAACTACCACTATTTCGTAAAAATTACTTATAATAAAATACAAAAAGTATTTTTAAAATAAATTAATCATAAAAAAGACTACATCGTTATACCTTTACTTACACTAGAATTTTTTTCAAGTTCCTTTAACATCATTCGAGATTTTTTTTCTTTTTTTTTTTCCATTATATATGCAATCTGGCTAAATATTTGCCATTCGGTGAAATTATCATTGCAAATATAAATTAGTCGATTCATTGCAATCGGCTATTGTTTCAATATCTATTATTTCTTTATAAATTATTATTTTGCATTTTATGCTTACATGCATATTATCAAGGAATGACATAAACTTATTATTATTATTATTATTATTATTATTATTATTATTATTATTATTATTATTATTATTATTATTATTATTATTATTATTATTGAAGATAGAATTTCTCACACAATCAATACACTAAAACATATAAATAACCGGCTAAGTAAAAATATATTGAAAAAAAAAACATTCTCGATGGAAATTTAAGGGTTTGTTGTCACTCAATTTGTCATTCATGTTGTATCTAGAATGAAAAAATTACAGAATATAATATATAAAATGTAAATATTCTCTTAGCGATTGATAAAATCTTATGGAATTGAATAAGCAATTCAATCTCCGATTACAATGTTTTGCCTTCTCGCTTGATTATTATTTGTGGATGTTTGTGGGCGAGAGTGGCTTGAGTCGTTGAGACATTATAATTAATAATCTAAAAAGCGAATTCTCTATTCGAAAACGTCCATACGTGCTAACGTAAACAACACCGAGACTTCAACTTTTCAAATGTCATTTACATCATTGTTGGATTCACAATAACGTGTAGACGAGGAACTGATGCCTCGGAGTTGGGTACGAGAGGTTTTGACTGCCATGGAAATATTAGCTTTGTGTAACGTAAATTGATGAGACGATAAGTCGACGATAAAAAACAAATGATTTCTAAGATAAAGACACTTAATTGAACAATTACCGTGACAGTTGCAAGAACAGAGATGCGAATCGTGAAAGTCTCTCGCCTCACACTTGATCCTCAAATTTGCTCAAATTATCCATTTACTACTCCAATAATTGTAAAACTTCCCTTAGCCTACGATCGCGCCCTTCGCTATCTTCCACGTAATCTATGTGATATCAAATTTTCTACGTATTGCGATCGACCATTTCCACGTCCGAAGCGCTCATTCCGCTCATTGCAGCATAATGGTCTACCACTATTCCGATGGAAATGCAAAGTTTCATTACAATTTCTTTACAGTAATGTCAATGTCACGTCTGTAAAAACGTTGTAAATTCTTATACGAACATTTTTGCACATACACAACAACTTCATAAATTTAGTATTAAGTACTTGACAATTATACATAAAAAATGAATGTCTTATGCACTATAAAACGATAAAACTTATAACTAATAAATCAAAATAATTTTGTATGATAATAGATGTCAACATATATTGACATCAGACTTACATAATAGTTGCACATTCGGAGCGTAAAACATAATTCATTAAGTATTTCAATTATACAAATTGTAAATCAAACATAAAAAATTGTGGCAGTAATTTACTGTCGCGGCTAATGTACGTAATGTATAATAAACGTTGGATTTGAAAAAATTATTATTTTCATAAAATAATTCGTATTTTATGAAACATTCGTGTGCTTGTAGTTTTAAACTTCCAAATTAATATTATTTTATCGATTGTTATTGATTTTGTTCTGTTCACTTTCAGTATTAGATTGCCAATTACATGCAAAATTAGATATTTACAATCTAAGAAATATACCCTATAATTGGATATTTTAATTTAATTTTTATCCACTATGGATCCATCCATATAGTATTATATAGTATGAATTTTTTTTTTTTCTTGACCTTTTCATTACAATATATAGTTACGTCTGTCTTAATTTTTCTGCACATTTTTTTATTAAATTATTTCAGATATTTTTTTAATAACAAGAATTAGACTTGGATTGGTGAATGAAAGTAAATATTTCATCAATTATTGCGTTTGCATTCACAGACAGATATGAAAATACTTTTAGTGTCAATTAAGTCTAAGTAAACGAATTATAACAACACAAAAAAACAAAACAAACAAAAAACAAAAAAACAAAAAATAGATGCAAAAATTCATTAGATTTATATGAAATAAAAATAGATTTAATATAAAAGATTAAATATTTATTTAGCTTCTTTTTTTCCTTTTTTTCTTTTTAAAGAAATAATATAAAACTATTTAAATATAGGAAATTTTATAAACGCAAAATATTAATTTAAATAAAATCATAAAATTGACAGAAAATACAATGACATTAAGTAATGAATACATAATGGAAATACATAATGAAAATTGTGAAATCTATTTTTGAATGTACAGTCTTTTTGCTAAAGGAAAATGATGTTTTTGCGCCGTTTCAATACATAATTCGAGACTTGCTCTCTCAAACAATGATAAAGATACAAATAAAGACATACGCTCTATTCCTAAAAACAAACAAAAAAAGAAAAAATAAATTTTTCTTAAAACTATGAAATCATAATAGCATTTTAATATAGAATCTAAATTTCATGAATAATTCGTGTAATATATATTTCAACATAAAGTCAATAACCACCGTTTCATACGATACTTAGGAAATATTGAAAACTTATCATAAAATTAAATATTTATCGGCTATAATTGGAAATACTTTTCTGCATATTATATTTATAATTTTTAGAATTTACTAATAAATAGAAACTTAATAGAAGCTTAAATCTGCTATTTAATATATTGTAAATGAAAATGTTCTATCATATTAAATGATAAAAATATTAGATATTGTCTATTTGTGATTGTGCAGTGTTGTTAATTTACTAAAATATTAAATTTACATGCAAATGGCATTTTATTGCCCACGTAAGAATACAATTAAATGTAATACGTTTATAAATAACAATATTCAATAATTAATCCTCCGCTTTATCCGAGTACAATTTCTTTTCTTCGAATAATAGTTTTATTTCACTACTTTAATCAAATTTTCTTTCCTTTATATCAATCTGCTCTTTATCACTTTCAAAGAGCATAGGAAGAAAAGAAAAATTCGCATACATGTGAAGTACGAAAGCTTAAATAACGATAAAACAATCGATGCTCCAAACATCATTCAGACAGATCAAGTTTTTTATTTAATCATAATCATCATAATACAATCAAGATGTTTCGTTATTTGTTCACAACAATAAATCTACAAAAATTATATGCTATAAAAAGTAACAGTGTGATCAATTATTTTTACGTATACTTACATATTTGTTTCTATACACACTTTTCCCCTTTCTTCGAGTGCATTGAATCTCGTTGTTCACAACTAAAATCATATAAAAAGATAATATTAATTTATCTAATAACGAAGACTAGTCATGAGTAGCTAGAATTTAATAAAAAATCGTATAACAAATAAAATATTTACCCTTTTTTTTCACTTAATTATATTCATTGATAATGTCAAAGATATTTTTATTATAATCTAATTATAAATATTCAAAGATTAATTATTAAACTTGCATATTGAGTGGTGCATATATAATCTTGTTATAAATATCACATATATTGTATTGTAACAAATACTTTGTTATTGCAAAATAAATGAATATTTTTATTGTGAGAGTTTACAAAGTATGAAGAAAAACGAAATGGCACTCGTTACCATCTGAAAGTAATTTTATTCTTTATTATATAATATACTGTATTATTGTATATATTAAAATATTGAAATTTATTATACATACTTCGCCAAAACATTCTAACGACAAGTTGATATATCCTCCCGCTCTCAATTGCACAGGATTTTGTGATTTTAATATCACTATTTGTATTATTTTTGATAATTTCATATTTCTTTCAAACATCGATGGTACGATAAACGTACTTTTTATTAAACGTTTACTCTGAATAATAAATATATTTATTACTTAAATTTCATTATTTTATTAAATATAAGTATGCTATATGTGAGTAGATATACTCATTCAAATCTATTAATAAATCATCAATAATTGATTTGCTATAAACTAACCATAAACAAAGTCAATTTTACATCACTGAAACAAAACAATGGGACATATAGGTAAAAATAACTAATAATTTGGATGTTAATTAAATAAAATTCTTATAATAACATTCATTATAAAAAAAAAAAAAAATAAAACTTTGTATTATGTGTTGTTGTTATTATTATTACTATTTCCATGATATCATTGTGATATTTTACTTTATATATTCAAAACACATGCACATAGTATGATAACATTTACGTAAGAAAATTATATTATTGATATATATATATATATATATATATATATATATATATATATATATGAATAAAAATTTAATGTAAAAAATGTATATTTTGATAATGCAGTTTGTGACAAATGTTTTAGGCGGAATCAATGAAGAAAGTACAATGTTACCAAATAATAGAATAGAGAGCAATAACAAATTTAATTCTTTTACGTATTTAATTACTCTAGACATTTAAAATATTTTAAATCATATATCTTAGCTAGTTTTTTACTCAATTTTCTAAACTCACAGAGAACCCTATTAAATGTTATATTGCTTTTTAAACTGCAATAATAATGGCCGTAAAACTATCCTTCAAATGATTATATTGTCGACAAATACTTATATAATTAGCAAACAAAAAATTGCAAACATTCTTAGAGAATCTTCGGTAAGAACATATATCGTCAACTAATGAAGAATCTTGACTTTTCAAATGCATTTATCGTCCTGTTTGTTTTAGTGAACATGTGAAGTATATAGAAATAACACGACCCAAGCTAAAATAATAAGACTAATAATTCAGCATTAAAAATCCAAGAGAATATGATACGAAGTGTAAAAATATAAATCGCGCGGATATTCATTGCATACAAAGGTCTTTCTTGCTTACAAAAAAGCCATCCGTCAGCCGACGAAAATAATGAACTTTTTGCTTAGTCAATATTTGTCTTGTTCTCACTATAACATTTGACGCGATTGCTCGAACATACTCCCTCGTTGGCGACGATCTTTTTAATGAATGCAGAATGCCAAAGAAAGCGAGAAGAGAGATTGAGTGAGGAAGAAGGGGTGGAAGAAACGAATGTCCACGAAACATTGAAAACATAACGCGCGAACTTACTTCGGACCTGAGGATCTCGGATATCCAGTGACAGGAGAAAAGTTGGAGAGTTTGTAGGCCAACGACGGGCAGCAGCTGGAAATTGTTCTGATTGTCCTAGCATTGTTGGGTGAGTTTATTAATTGGGGCCCTTCCTAAGGTCCTCCTTCCACGTCAACAAGGACTACGGAAAGTTCGACATGCTCTACTTACCGTGATTATCGCGTACAAGAGTATCGACAAGTTGTAGGTGCTGCTGAGCAACTGGACCATAAAAAACGACTCCGTTATCTTGCTTATGTCCTTGCAAAATCTAGACAGAGACAAATTGCGTGTAAAGATATTGGAATGGCGATCGGTGGAATTTAACTCACTTGAACAATCTTTTCATATTTAATATACGCTTAGCTACAGTACCACAACGTAAGTAAAGTGTCATTATTTCCCTTCGCAAATCCTACAAACATGCGTCTCTTCCACTTGTCCTTCCACTGATACCTATGCATCGCAATACCTGTCAATCATCTGATGATACGCTATACACGTGATGACATCCTCGATGGCCTCGTCAGCTCTACGAAGTCTATCCTGCTTTTGCATCTCTTCGAATCGACTGCAGAGCATTTTGAAATGAGCAGCAGCCGTCATGATGAAATAGGGCGGAGCCATGTCGAAGCCTGCAACGACCAAAGTGTAGCCGAAAGAAGTTATTATCTGGACGATAAACATTATCTCGTAGGACGGCGAGTCCTGCAGGTCCAGGGCAAAGGAGTAGGGAAGCTCACGTCGAACGGCTGCGCTCGTGTCGTTGGTCGTACCGTGGAATTGGGTGATCGTAATGCACATAGCGGACCAGCTGAAATTGAATCCCAAGTAGCAAATGGATATTGTCCCAATTGTCCGGACGAAACCCCTAAGATGTTTGGTGAGAAAGAGACAGCTGCATTAATAGACAAATGGCAACGATATTGCTTCTATTATCCCGTCTGGTCTACGAAAATTGCACGGCTGCAGAGATTTCGCGCGCGGAGAAAACAAAATTTCGAATAAAACGCGCGCGGATGATCGTTAATGGACAATAATGGTCTTTGGTCGACTTTCAAAATCATTGGTTTCAAAAGCATTGGTGTTAGCATCAGGGAAGAATATTAGGACAAACGGGAGCTTGCAAGGGATTTTGAAAAGGTTGCTTTTAGTACGTGGGTGCCGGCATTCCAATTCGAATCGCTTAAATACAAGACTTTCGCCTCTCCATTGTACCTTATTATTGGCTTTTCGGCCTCCTGCAACTTTCCCCAGAGCTTTTCTGACTCTACCAATAAAGTGGCAATATTGCTTCGCTTAAAGCATAACAAAACGTATCGCAAGTATAAGCCACTCAGTCCAATGCAACCGGCTATTACTTCGAAATTCATTATTCGTCTGTACGCGTTCATGAGAGCCGTGGATATGTACATGCATATGATGAATACGATGCTAAAGTGTGCGTAAATGATGATGGTCGTGGTTCCTATGGAGTTTATGCTTCGGCTCTCGAACGCCAGCAAACCGGCAATTTTCATTAACAATATATTGATCTTGTTTACACTTTCAAAGGATAACTTCGATCTTTTACGCTTCATGTCGCACCTGCAACATAGTATTCGGCACATTAACATTTGCCACTACGCAGACGCACAATTGCGCTATAAAGTGGGGAAAAACTAAACAAAAAAACAAAACAAAACAAAACAAAAATAAAAAGAAAAACAGAATGGACATTTCTTCGAATATGGCTGAGTTTATGTGTAAAAAAAAAAAAAAAAAAAAAAAAATGACAAAGCGCACTTCGATCGATAAAATCACAAATTTCAGTGCCTTAAAACTCAAATGATTTATAAATACTCTTACGGTAGTTTAAAATTTGTGCATATTTTCTTTATCTTGTATTAGCTCGTTGTCCATACTGTTTTCTAATTTTTCAACTAGTCTGGATCATTTTTTCATATAACAAAAATATAGAGTATCCTTAGCTCAAAAAATAGAAGAAATATAAAGAAAGAGAGAAATGCTTCAAAATCCATACGTACTTCCTATGGCGCTTGCTACGAAGGATTAAGGAAGGAGCTTTGATGTCCGCTAGCATTTTGAAGAAGGACGAGAAATCTGCGTTTTGTTTTTGGAAAATTTAATAACCAATTAGACACTCGCACAATACCTACTTTTCTCGATCTATTCACAACTGATCATCCCTCGGCAAACTCTTCTTCCTCGTTTCGGGCAGAAGACGCAAATTACGTACTCAGTCAGTAATTACGGAATCTGCCCGAATTTGCCGGAAACTGCCGGATGGGATAATCGAAGTGAGGGAAGTTGATGAGGCTGAGTTTGTATCGAGTGAAAGTTGATGTTTTACTGACTTTTCCTTTAAAGATTTGAAGGGCAACGAGCAAACAGGACAAAAGGGCGTAGCTTATTATTATACACGTTACTTATACTTTATTTTTATTTCCTCTCCTTATTAGTATCGCTATATTAGAAACTATATAAATATTTGTAAATATTTGTAGATAAAATGTTTGTAAAAATATTAGGCGATGAGATGCGCCGTCGATAAAATGACGTGTTTGCTGAATCAAGTGATTTTTGCAGGTGGACTGTCTGAAACAGAACTGAAGTTAATAAATAGATTTGGTTGTAATGTTGAATTTATCGACATTGTCCTTAAAAGAAAAAAAAAGATTTTTAAATTAGATAATTTATAAAAGATTTTGGCATTGACAAAATAATAGTGGTGAATTAAATTTTCAATGTTAATAATAAGATTAATTTGAATATGCAAATCAGAAGACATATTCATGTAATTAAGGACTAAAATTTTATATTAAATTAGACGATATAAAATTTCATATTCATCAGTTAGATAATTTTGTATAAATTTATAAAATGGAATTTGAAAAAGCTATTTTTAAAAAATGGCCTTAAAATTTTACTCATATATAAACTATTCTATAAAGATGAAAATTTTATTATTAAATTTAAAATCATTAACTGCTATGGGCGGATAAATAAATTTTCTCACTTCTCATATCCTCTATCTATATTTTCAATTTATTATTTACCATAGATCATCGATATCCTTCATCTTATTTATCGTATCTTCTCCGACTCCTCAAGTGACTCCACTTCAATGCCTAAGTAATATGGTAAAATAAACCCAATTTTGTGTGTGCGTGCGCGCGCGCGCGCGCGTGTATTACGATGAAAGTATTTGATGTATTGAATCATTGAGCATAGGAAAAACCTCGGGTTTGCTTTGAATGGTGTAGTTTAATAATTCAATCTTCCCAATAATTAAAAGCCTATAAATTTAATAGTCGATGCTATTATTCATATTACGCGATCAAATAATATTAATAGCACGTATTTTCATAAAAAAACAATTACATATTTTTTTAGCCAAGTGCATCAATTTCAATGTATTTTTTACATGATTTTATCGTATTTGTTATATACTTCCCGTATAATATTATCAGCTATCGCATGAACTACAACTATGGATCTAAATCTTTAATATACGAATAATATATTTATCAAATTTATCATTCATAATGTCGGATTCTCATTTTCACATAATACGTCCAACTCATAAAGATTTAATTAATTATATCATTTATGAGACAATCTTTCATAATTGAGTTGTATGTTCGCTATCTCAAATGGAATAGATATCAATTATATATCATATTATCTATTATACATATACGGGATTAATATAGATTATTCATATATATAGTTTGACTAATAGAAGTAATAAAATAAAATGTAGCTTACATTTTGATAGTTGCTAAATCATATAATAAACTGTATTGAAAATTTAAATGATTTATGAAAATGTACTTAGTTTTTCACAAAACACTAAATCTACATTTATATTAGATCACCCATATTTTATCAGGATTTCTTAAGGTATTAATTTAAATTAACAAGCCGAAATTCAAATACAAATGCTGCATTTATATGCGTAATTTTAATTCTTTTATATAAAAACCTAATTTTCCGTTATTATTCGTCTAATAAATCATTTATTGGCGAATTTGTAAACTAAATGTATCCTGGATTCACGAATGATTTTGACTAACAAGAATTGAAATATTTACGTTACGTGTTTCTGTGTGCGTCAGATCATGAAAATTCAATATAAATATATATATAAGAGCCCTTTAGTCCTTAAATTTTATAAATTCACAATCTCAGATGATATTTCACTTACTAAAAAAATTATGTAATTCTCCAAAACTTTTCCCCTTTTTTCATTTTACAAAGTTTATGAACCCCATAAGTATTTATTTACTTAAAAAAAAAAAATGAAAAATTAGTTCAATGAATGCTTTTAAAGTAAATTTAATACATAATTTGTTCATTTTATTCAACAATTAAAGTATTTTTTTTGTTACAAATTTAACATCGTTCAATTTATTGACAATACAAATGAAAATATTATGTCCTATTTATAAGTATAAAAACAAATTATACATTTATGTCTTACTTATACACATAACCAAATGAATAGTTTCTTGATTATAAAAGCAATAACAACTCAAAGTTCTCTAAGGATAATTTTACAGGAGATACTATATAAACATTGTATTGAAAATGAATATGCTTATGGAAGTTAATTATCATTAATAACAGTTTGACAAATGTTAAGAAAAAAAGAAAAAAAGAAAAAAGAAAGTCATTGTACTTATAAAAATAATTGTAAACTTTAATGATAGCATCGTAGTATCTATGAGCAAAACCTATCTCCCCCCCCCTCCCTCCCTCCCTCTCTCCCTTTTACTTTAATAAATAGCTATTACTTTAGGCAATGTATTATGCAAGCCACGTCTTTACATTAAATAACGATCATAAATTATTGAAATTTTAATCAATATATGCTACAGTTTAAAATGCTATATTTACATATAACGAAATCATCGTTTCATTAGTAAATTTAAAAACACTGCTGCTTGAAATATTTGTAACTTAGCACGTCTAATAAAAGATATCATTTATTTATAACAATAAATAATAAAATACTCTATTTCATCATAAAATATTATAGAACTGCTAATTGCTATTGCATTTTTCAATTGAATACTCGTTGAAATCCAGTCCAGTATAACTTTTTAATGGGATGGTCAATATCATCGAAATGTTTTATTCAGAATGTAGAAGTTTGCTGCGTGGGAGTTGGCAATGTCGATCAGCTTGAAATAACGTAGATCCTGCCTATTTCTTGACGTCGCGACGCCTCGACGGGAGGTAACGATAGGCGGCTCCTTTTTTCCTCCCCTAGAAGAAGAAGAAGAAGAAGAAGAAGAAGAAGAAGAAGAAGAAGAAGAAGAAGAAGAAGAAGAAGAAGAAGAAGAAGAAGAAGAAGACGAAGACGAAAAAGAGGAAGAAGTTGAACTACGCGTAACGACGTTTAACAAAGTGAACATTATTTCTTTAAGCAGCGGTTGCTTTCAACGTTTCTCACCAATGTTTTTTCAATTTTTGTCGTGAGATTGCCGCTCCTTACACCATCTTTGCTAGTTTTTTTTTCCATTTATTTATCACTTCGCTTGTTTAATCGTCGATTTCTACTTTTGCCGTTTGTGAGTTCGACGAGGGACAATGGATATGACGTCATAACGGCCTGCATTATATCATATAAATGCATTATTTGATCATCGTGATTCGTGATGGTTGATTTAAGCGGTCGTCGATACTTCAATGACCAACTTATCGCATTCACTATCACCTGAAAATATTTAAAATTTTTAATTTTTATACTTTTTAGTATTACATTTCTTATATGCATTCATCTATTAGAATCATTATAGTGTAAGTAAAAAGTAAAAAGCAATAAACAGATGTGTTAAATATTAAATTGATGCATTACCCCTTCCACTTGCCCGGACTTTTTCTCCCACCATTACAACCGGTGATCTTAGTCTAATTCGAAACATTTTGGTCCTTCGAGCCCAATGAATGATATTCTAAACAATATGAAACACAATTATGAGTATAATGGTTATCGCTTGACTAATTTAATTCTAAGTTCAATTATAAATTTACATTCGGATTAATAATAAATAATTTATTCGTTAAACTGATTTGAAATTATTCCATATAACATTGTTTCAATATTTACAATATTGAAGTTCAATAAATGCCTCTTGAAAGCCTTATTTAATGAATTTAAATTTTAATTGTACTTAACCGTCGTATTAATTTCTTTAGAATCTAACGAATCGCGTTGGTATAGTTACCAAAAGAATTTCTTCTTCTTCGACCAAAAGAACTTCTCACACAGAGAAATTGCACCCTAATGATAAATTTATTGCAATTTAATGGATTGTTCTTTAGCGCTTCGATAGCACAATTCAGAAAAAATTTGCATTCATGAGATTCATGAGAGCAATATATACAATTAAAAGTATCGATCAATTATATTAAAAAAAAAGCGTAATCAAATTTTTATTTTCTTTAAATAATCAAGAGGTAAGAAAATATAAGACCGATCTTTTATAAATATAATTACTACATTAGGTAATATATTATAATTTCCACGAACATCGGACAAAAACACATTTACAACATTTGTTTCGAGCCGAACTTAAGATGTTTGCTTTAGAAATTTTCATCTTTGATAATTTTCCAAACTGAATACGTGTAAACATTGCGACAATTCCAGTGGGTTGAAAGAAAACGAGGGAGACATTGTTTCTAAATAGAAAGAATGCTTCATCAAACGTGAATAAATGTTCTAGTTATCAATCTTTCTTTTTATATGTTATAAAATGCACCTCCAATGCTTTGACGAATAAATAATAAAAATTTACAATTAGTTAAAGTTTAGTCGGTAGTGTAAGCCGCTCAGACAAGACTTTTTTTTCTAAAATAACATTTCAACACGAATTATCTGAAACAAAATAAAAACCACAATTCATACAACATAATCTTATAAAAATAGTCTATAATTTATTATACAATTGTATCATAATATCAATCGTGCAACTGTAACTTATACAAATTCTTAGCAAAATTCACGTACTTTGCATGCATGGGAAATAATAACTACAAATACATTTTCATTATATAATTTCACACGGAAGGCAATAAAAATGTTACAGTGAATAATTCATATGCATATACATTATCCGTTTATTATCGTTAATAAATAGTTTGCTAAAAGTTATAACAAAAGAATGTCGTGGTAACTCTACACATAAAAATAATTACATGATTAATGATAATATCATAGCTCCTACGAACGAACGAAAAAAAAAAAAAAAAAAAAAAAAAAAAGAAAAAAAAAAAGAACAACATCCATCTTTACTCTAATAATTAATGATTAGTTTAAACTAAGTATCTCAAGTAAATTTAATCCATACATTTTCTAATAATCGTAAATTATAAAAACTTATATAAAAACATATATCGTTATATTAAATATGAAATACTGCATGTGTATATAATGTAATTATTGTAGTGCTTTGGAAAAAGTGTTAAAAAGGTGTTTGTTTTCCAGAAAATATTTGGCAAAATCCAGGGTGAAAAAAAGGAATTTGGTATTTTAAATTTTATTATGTTTTTACAAATTCATTAATTATTTGCATATAAGCATATTATTTAATAGATTTAATAGTTACCTTTATTAATAAACTTTTGAATTCTTATATTATCTCTTACTTACTTTTAAGAAGCCATTTATGAATACATATACTTTCGATAAATATAAACTTTTTTACTTTATATAAATAAAAATATATATTATAAAGTCTAATTATTCTTCAATAAGATGTTGCGATTCTATCTAATATGATTTATTCGATTTCGGCAATTATAATTCGATTTTCACTATTATTAATGATTTTGCAGGATTTGCGAGCTCGTCGAGCAATCGACAAAGTTCTTTTACTTTTATGAGAATGAAATGTAATTGTTAAGGTGAAATTGATGTAAAAAATTAAAGTCCCATGAAACATGAAAACTAATGAATAAAAAACGTGCAGAATGTTTGATTCGTTCTCTGACTTTCATTTTATTTATAAAATAATATATCCTTTTTATTAATTGTATATTATTAGGTGCATCATTAATATCTATGAATTTGCTTTACGTCTACGATTGAATTTTATGCTCTAGTTACATTATCCATTGATTGCAACTTTATAGCGGAGTAATCTTAATAGATCAATGATCCGTTTTGCCTAAATTCATTTTACATAATTCATCGATAAAACTGCATTAAATGCAATAAATATAAAGTAAGTTTTATACAGTGAACTAATTACAATAAACTCACGTGTGCCGAATAAGATGAAAAAAAAATCCAATTCTTAGGAAAAGAAGGAAAATACAGAAATTATGATGCGTGTCAAATGTAATGGAAACAACAATATTTTTCCAACTGTTTGAACTAGATTTTATAAATGATTCTAACTATACGTAATAGATTGTCAAATTTTCAAGCTCCTATAGTGCTATAGTGACATAATAAAATTAATGAACATAAAGGGAAAAAGGAAAAAAATTGATACCATGGCATGATTATAGTTGAAAATATCTATAAGTGTCTATTGTTACTGCAGTAAGTACAAGTTAATGAATATCTATAAAATGAATAAAGATAGAGCACGTCCAAAATACCAATACATCGATTGAATAACAGAATTTTGAGTCAAGTGCATAAAAAATTCTTCCTGTCGAACGAAAAAACAATATTCTGCAAATAATTTTAAATCGTCAAGATCTAATGTGTACATTATGACGGTATTTTGCGTGAAAACTTAAAATAACTCATTTGATTTGAATAAAAATTTTTAAAAAATATAAACACTTTATTTTAGATCTGCATTTTTCAAATTGAGCTTATAAAATCATTAAAGAAGAAAAAAAAATAAAATAATTTTTAAAAATACACCTTTTCTTTATAAACCGTAGTTATTTAATTAAAGGACTGACACGCGATTGTCGTTCAGTTAATTCTTCAGTTTACAATTAAATACAAATGATTTCATACAGCAAATAAATTATCTTTCGGATTATACAATATTGTTATTAATTATGATTATAATACAATCATTATATTTTCACGTTCTCCCGAAGAATTAGATCCCAAGTTTATCTTTAACGATTCTGAAATGATAATTCTTTACGTATGAGAAATAATTACTTTAAAATAATCAATTTAATTCAACATAAAAACATCTATTATTTTATAAATGTAGTTACAGCGCGTTATAATGAGAATCTTACTTAGACGGACAGAAAAACTATTATAAAAAAAAAACAAACGAAAAACATATTTAAATTGTCGACAATAGTTATGTTGATAAAAAAATCTTTTTAATGTTCATGAGGTTGTAAGTTGATTATTATTTGCGAATATTTTCGCCAAATCTTATTCTTTTAGAATGAAATATTTTGCTTTTTGATATTCCATCGTAAATTACTTTATTTTCTTTAAACATTAACGATATTTCTCTTAACTCATAACTTACACATATATATTGTATGTTGTTTTAGATAAGTGAAATCATTTGGAAATTGTAGCATTTGTCTTGGAGTGTTTTGCGATAAAATTATCAATCTCATATTTCAACTAAATCAGACTAAACTTTTTGGTTTTAAAATTAGTAAATGAAACTTTTTCTCAAAATACTATGTCAAGTTACATTATTAATTGACGATATTCATTTAAGATAACAAAAATCTCATGACGAATAGTTTAATTCATAAAAATAATTTTTATTAGAAAAAAATTTTTTTTAAAAAAAAAAAAAAAAAAAAAAAAAAAAAGAAGAATTTATTATGATTACGATAGACATTTATCATCTGTTTTGCTAATATTTGCTGCATATGCAAATATGCAAATATGCAAATATTTATTATTCTTATGTATTCTTACAAGAAACAACAAACAGTACAACAGTACAACAAACAACAACAACAAGAAACAAAAAACAACATATTCTTTATGTATGACAATCGATTTATGCCCTTTTGCACACTCGATTGAACTTGCCAATGATCATAAGATTATGTAGAACAATAACAGCAGCAGTAACAATAATGATAATAATATGCGTTATATCTCGCTAATCGTTGAGAGGCGAATTAAGCGCAAATGTGCGTGTCGAATGTCGAAAATTACCTCACCCACGCTACGATCGACGATTAATAAAATTGTACGTCACAGTCTGTACACGCTCGTGCATTACGATCGCTCGTAATTTCATGTTGCGTAAAACAATTAGTATCCGACGATCCATTCGATTCGAATGAGCTTCGTTTCCGCCATTGCGGATGTGACGTTTGGCGCTCTTATTTTTGTATCCAAGCACGCCAAACCTAGAGAATTACGCAAGCTGACTGAGCACCACTGCGGCCGCAGCCAAACTCTAAGGGAGCCGCGCGACTCATAACCCCGACCAATAATCCCCCAGGCTACCAACGAACCCGCGCGGCCGACGGAAGCTCCCATCGCGATAAGGGACAAAGCCGCAAGTACAACGAGCCCCAACGACCACGAGGACAGGACGGCCGCCCATTAAGCGAGACAGAACGACTCGCCTTACCGTCACACGACCAGTACGCCGACGGTCCTGCCCGAACGTTAGAAAACCGACTGTCATAACACGTCACGTCATAATTGACCGACGTAAAGGACTGTCGGGTCGTGGGCACTAATATCGTCGCCATCACAGCGACGGGATCGCGATCGTCTTGCGTGGTGCTGTCCGCGCGCTTCGTGTTTCCATTATTTCGTCGTGGAATCGACGACCGGGAGGCTCTCATCGCGGAGTCCGAGCCTTCCCTCCCACGGAGCCAACCTGCCCCGAGTGCTTCCCAGTCGCGGATTTTTCTCCTGGGAGGCCGACCTGTCGTCCTCCTTCCTCGCTCCTCCTCATCCTCCCGCACTCAACCTAACCAACCACCCTCGTCACGCGACAGCAGCATCAGTGGACGTTCCTCCGCACGTCCGTCGTCCTCGCGACCGCGCGTAAGCCGTGCTTGCGAACGTACGAGGCATCTCCTGGGTCTTTCGAAGTCGAAAACTTTTGCCACCGTCGATGAACATGGCTTATTGAAAAAAAATGAAGGGTCTGCAGGAAGTTTACGTTTCTCCATACGGAGGGGACCACCTCAACTCTGTCTTCGCGATCGTCGGCGCTGTTGTTTGTAAGGTCGGGGACGGCTGGGACGGCCGCGGTGGTTCGTCGCTTCTTATTGATAATGGACAAGAAGGCAAAGTATCAGCAGCCCAACGCCAAGGGAACTGTTGTTGATACGAAGAAGAATCAAGGTGAGAGCGGCTCCTTTAATTTTCACGTTCGCGACACGTCAGTTACGGATAACGAGAGTCACGTAGTGTAGTGATTAGTAGTGATCAGTAGTGATCACGACGACAGCCAGCTTATCTAATTATCGGGCACTTTTTTTCATTCGATCGCTCCGTCTGTTAGTTTAAAAACCAAAAAAACAAAAAAAACAAAAAAAAAAGCCTTTCCTCCCCTTCTCCTCCCTCGAATCGCGTGCCACGTACGGACCAACGAACTTCTTTGTCGTTTTCATCATTTGTTTTTCACACTGGGATTCACGCGCCTTATCAATATATTATAATTCGCTATTATATAAAGGAATTATCGGCTCGTTGGCCGACAGTCGAGCAAATTTAATTTTCTTTGGCTCGTGTATATGAAAAATGACGTTGACAGTGATAATTTGGTGAGACAATGATAGCGATTGTTTAAATTCAAATGAAAAATTCCATATTCTAATTTGGAGCAGCTGATGATTGATGCTATTTATAATTAAAACAGCGTCTGTAGTTGTGAAAGTGAGGAGATGATATGTAGGACTATTTTACCAAAGTGTCGAGAGATATAAAGAATAAATGTGCGTGCAATTTAGGTTTAGGTATGCTAATGTGTATGATTGTGTTGGGAGACTTTAGCGTTAATTTTTAGTTTTGAACCGAGCACATGCAGGAGGCGAGCGTAACAGAATTGGATATTTAAAATAATGTGGGACAAATGGCTTTATCCATTCATTTTTCAGATGTCGTTAGCTCCAAACTTTGTCCCAAATCGTCACGTAGACGTGAATCGCCTGGTGCAAACAGTTTTCCAAAAAATGATCAGCCAAGGAAGTCGAATGCACAGAAAGCAAAAAACTTTGATAAGAGACCAAAACTTAAAGGACATTATCATGGCGGTTCAAAGGAGGATTCCAAGGTACGAAACTGTCGATTCGTTTGTCCTGGATAGATGAGAAATGTTTATTTGAATTTGATATGCCCTTCCGTTGCCCCTAGGTAGCTGAAAATGAATCGGCTGAGCTTGGCTCGGTAATGGCCCAAGGAAGTAAAAAGCAGAATTTGAATCATCTGCTGAATTTTAGTTATACGCCACGATATATGCAAAGTGAGTGGAATCACGGGAGGATAAGCAGTTACAACAACTACAATTATAATCGCTGGCTTCCAGCCGTTCAGCGACACAAATATAATAAAGAACAATTTTTACAAGCAAAGTAAGCAACGAGAGTTATAATTAAATACTGATTGTGCTTGCGCTTCTGACATTGTCGATCGAATAATTAATACTGCATCTTTTTTCCATTTTAGCTGCCAATTTGTTGTTACTGCCAAAGGAGATTATTCCCTTTATTTGAACGATCCCGATATTCTGATCGACTGGAAATTAATAGAACAGATTGTAAAGCTTTTTCTCCTTTTAATGAATTTTACGCAATTGTCTTACGCATTATTTTTGTCCTGTTTTTGTTTCTTTAGCGAGTTCATAACTCTGAGAATCTACTGTGTCCCATTTGCTTGGATTTTCCTCTGGCTGGGAAAATGACACGTTGTGGCCATGTGTATTGTTGGCCCTGTATACTTCACTACTTAGCATTATCAAATAACTCTGGGCGCAAATGTCCTATCTGTTACGAATTTGTCAATAAATCTGATTTAAAGAGGTAACATAATTCGATTACCATTAAAGCTTTGAACAGATGATGCGATGATATTGTTTTTTTGTTTAGCGTTGTGGAAATAACCAAAAATGTTTTAAACATCGGGGATCAAATTTCTCTTCGTCTAATGCGTCGAGAGAAAGGAACATTACTCGCAGTGCCAGTTGATAATTCTGAGCGCTCGCCGACGACATTTTTATCCGTATCCGAAAACATTAACCAACACGTTTATTCAAAATTACTTCTAGCTGAAGATGCCGATGTAAGTACTTTCCCAATTCCCTATACAATATTTGCAAATAAAAATTTCGTACAATAATTCGATAGCCATAGAAACTTACCAAACACTGTTTGACAACAGATAATGGACATTATTGAATCAGAGCGGAGTCAACTGAATATTCAATTATTAGAAGATTCTTATTCGCTGGAAAATTGTTTCATCGAGCAGGCTTGTAATGAATTATCAATCAGGGAGCAACTTCTTTTACAGGTATTTGGGTGAACGATTGGAATTTCAATTAGTAGCTATAAAGCCTTCCTATTGTAATTCTAAGCTACTTTGTAATTTCAGAATATTAGTCCAATCGATAGCAAAACAAACAACGAGCCCACTTCAGCCAACGAAAACATAAAATGTAGAGAGAAAAAAACATTCGACTCCATAAAAATTCCAAATAATTACACGGAAGGTGCGAGAATTCTTCAATTAATGGACAATTTGAACTGCGACAATGACGAGTCAAAAAGAAAGTCGCAAAAATTTTACTTTTTCTACCAAGGTTAAGGGAAATTTACTTGAAATTTGCAAAATGCCAAATAAACACTTCTGAGCTTGAAATTTACGTTTCGCTTGCAGCCGTTGGTGGACAAAACGTGTATCTTCACGCAATGAATATCAAGATGTTAGAAATGCAGTATGGTAGTTTGGAAAAAAGTCCCCAAGTGATATCTGGTACAATAATAGAGAAAGAAGTTGGCAGCCTTACGCATGATTTGAGAAAACGTATGCGATATCTTTGTCACCTACCAGTAACAAGCCAATTTGAAATGGTCGAAATAGATCTGCAGCCTCCGATTATATCGAAAGAAGTTTTAACATACTTTGAAGGTCTCAACTACTCTAATGCTCGCTTAAACTGAGCCTATTATTATGTAATAAAATGTTGCAACCGATTATTTCATAATTGCTATTACGATGCTGCTTTAGATCAAATTTCTTCGCGCCAGCATGAGAGAAAGCGTCGGGAGAGAGAGGAACAGAAGCGCGAGAAAAAAATTACCGAGGAAGAAAATAAGCGTATGGGAAAGTATCCAAAGCCAAAGGTTCATATTGAATCACACAAACATTTCCCCCAGTTTCAACCCGAAACAGACGCGTACGTATTTGAATTCTTAACATTAACATCGCAACGCCGTTTAACGAAACGGAAAAATTTATTTATCGAGCGTAAAAGCGACAATGTTTACGGCTAACATAATATAGAGCTCGTTTTATAAGTACAATAACTATGCTTAAGATTACTTAATTTTTAGAATTAATATACCATCGTCTTTGGAGTCAGTTGCTGCATCGAGTGCAGCAAGTAGCCCATCTACCTGTTCCATCGATGACGTATTAACAAAATTGGGCGATGAAGCCAATAACTCGTCGACTATGGCCGATCAGGGCCCATCGTTTGCCCAGATGTTGCGAACGAATGGATCGAAGAAAGCCGCCGCTTGGTCAACGCTACATAGCTCGAAAAAAGAAAGTTACGAGACTTCGGTGACCCCAACCGACTCATCATTCGCAGCTGATCTTGAATTAGACGAATACGTACCTCCAGCTTATAATCGAAATTTAGGAGATGCATTGGCACAAGCCTTGGAAAAGTCTGATTTGCTGAGTCATGGCGACAGACCAACCGATAACGTCAACAACGGCAAAAAGAAGAAGAAAAAAGGAAAAACAACTGTACTGTTTGCGACTAATATGGCACGAACATCTTAATTTGATTAGATGATACTTTAGATTCTATTAACTATTTCTAAAAAAAAAAAAAAAAAAAAAAAAAAAAAAAAAAAAAAAAAAAAAATTGGACTTATTCAATATAGTTTTTAAAAACAATCACAAACAAACGTGCTCAATAGCATAAAAATAATGCTCTTCGTATGTGCGTGAGACTTTATGTATCCCCGATGATATTGTATTGTGAACGAAATTTTTGTTGCAACTTTGAAAATAAAAGGTGGGTTACGAATTTAAAAATAAATGCATTATTATTATGACATTGTACATTCTACGTGTGCCAGAAATCTCGATAGGCCTGGCGCACGCAACCCCCCACCGAGGATAAAGAGAGAGAGAGAGAGAGAGAGAGGCTTTTAACCTAAAATATCAACAATAAAATCAGAATGTTAAATCAACGATCGGTAAAACATTTTTAATCTATTTATTGTAAATTCAGAACTAATAACTGACATATTTGTTCTTTACCGTGACAGGGTTCATTTTCATCGACTATTCAAATCATTTATTTACTTTAATGTTTGAGGCTTTATTATCCTTGAAAGCACAATGATTTCTCTGAAATCATACATTTTTTAAACCAATTGTTCGACCGAGTTTGTTAATTAACATGCAATGTTATATCGTATAAAAATAACAATATAAGACATATTACGAATCCTATTTAGACTATTTAGATCTTTATTAAGACTAGTAAACATATAACCATTTATTACGCTTTCTCATCTCGGTCTACATAATCCACGAGACGACGAATCGAGGTCGTATTAAAATTATAATTAATTCGAGATATTCGTACCTTGTTGTAATCATTGCCAATTCGAATTTCAAAATATCCCGTGCTGCCTACAATGATTATTAGAAAATTGATGCGCAACAACACAAAACAAGCGTTAATCGCATCGAATGCATTTCCTGGTAGGCGACACACCTTTCAAACATCCCCACACGCGACATATTATTTACTAGGTGTTATTAGTACTTATTAAATTTAGTAAAACATCGCGATAATAAATACTAGAGGTAGTCAAGTTGAGGATAAAACTCAGGACCGTGAAATGGTTAGAAATCAATTCGAAACTAACAAGATCGTTGACCTGGGGATGTTTGAAATGTAAAATGTCGCATCATTTTGATGTATAGAAATTAAATTTTCATAGAAACATAATATTTATTTACTCGTAGTAATTAAATAATAAAGTCAATGATGACGTTGATAAAATTTTCTAAATTTTAAGACAATTATTTCCAACTCTCGAATTCTAAAGTAATGTGAAAGTATGTTACAATTGACAATTAAAATTACTTACCTTCCAAGTAACTCGAAAGTATCATCCATGAAATTCGACATTTTATCCACGCAATAAAGAAAAACGCAGCGTTTAAAATTCAATTTAGATATCATTTTATTATACCACTCGACGTTATCAAATTGAAAGAAAAAAAAAAAACAAGAAAAAGAATTTTCCTCTAAAATAGCCACGTAATATTTCTCTATCAACTTACGTAATTTTTAATAGAGTATAAAAAAATAATTACTGCGATCGATTTATGTAGTTATAAAAATAAAAATTTTTGGTAAAACGTTTGTAACTTCGATTAAATTTAAATACATACTTTTTTCATTGCTTATTGTAAATTATTTTACCACTTTTACATAAACAATTAATGAAATTTGCAACAGCAGTAGATTTTATTGGTATTTTTTAAGCAAATGTTAATTTTAATCTGTAATAATATCTTTATATACAAATCAAATAAATAAATAATAAAAAAACAATAAGTCAAAATTTCCATTGTATTAAAGCATTCAAGTTTTATTTCTAATTAGATTTTTTTTATAACCTGTGTTCGTTCTGCATTAAATATTATTGTTTACAATGAAATGAATTGTTCGTACGATAAGAGTAGTAGTTTTAAACATAATAAAATAAAAACATTTTAGAAGAAGAAAAAATTGTCAAATCTAAATTACGCGTCAATCGTTCAGGTATAAATTATCACATTTAATTCCACATTGTAATCAAAGGTAAGTAAAAAAAAAAATAAAAATTAGACAAACTTTTTCGTGAAATCTCGTATTATTAAGTTTAATTAAATAGTAAAGAGAGAAAATGAAAAATAAAAATACAAAAACAATATTTATGGTATAATTACTGAAAACACTGGACGTATGTCTTGAATAAGAATTATTATATAAAAAACTTGGCTAGAAGAAATAAGAAAATGCTCGATGATACACATAAAAGGTACTATTATTATTTTCCATCTCCTCTTTTTTTTTTTTTTGCTCGATAGTACGAAGATATTCAGTGCTATTTTTTTTTTCTTCTGCCGACTTGTATTTTTCGTTTATCCATCTTAGAGAGCGCGGCTGTTTAATCAACTTCTTCGATGGTTGGGCCACTGCCACCTCCGGGAGCTGCTCCGGCGCCTGGAGCGGCTCCTGGAGCGCCACCTGGATTGAAGAAACCGGGCATACCGCCTGGTGGGGCACCTCCCGAGCCTTGGTACAACTTGGTGATGATGGGATTGCAAATACCCTCGAGTTCCTTCTGTTTGTGCTCGTACTCTTCTTTATCAGCCAGCTGATTGGCGTCGAGCCACTTGATTATCTCGTTGCATTTATCGAGGACCGTCTGTTTGTCAGAGCTGCTTATTTTGTCCTTGATCTTCTCGTCCTCGACAGCGGTCTTCATGTTGAAGCAGTAGGACTCGAGGCCATTCTTCGAGGAGATGGTTTCCTTTTGCTTCTCATCTTCGTTCCTGTACTTTTCCGCTTCGTTGACCATTCGCTCGATGTCCTCTTTGCTGAGACGTCCCTTGTCGTTCGTAATGGTGATCTTGTTCTCCTTGCCGGTGGATTTATCTACAGCCGAGACGTTGAGAATACCGTTGGCATCGATGTCGAATGTCACTTCGATTTGAGGGACACCACGTGGCGCTGGTGGGATACCGCTCAGCTCGAATTTTCCAAGAAGGTTGTTGTCTTTAGTCATAGCACGCTCACCCTCGTATACCTGGTAAAAACAATCGCAAGAAACAAGCAATTAAAATTACACCCCCTTTCTTTTTTTTTTTTTTTTCTCTATGACCTGTAGCGGCCGAGATTTAATAATGATATCGGTGATGAAGAAGAGAATCATAATAATAATATCAACGACAACGACAACGACAACAATAAAATATCATACCTGAATGAGCACACCAGGTTGATTGTCGGCATAAGTTGTAAACGTCTGAGTTTGTTTGGTGGGAATGGTGGTGTTTCTCTTGATAAGAGCTGTCATGACACCTCCAGCAGTTTCGATACCAAGAGAGAGGGGTGTAACGTCAAGGAGCAAAAGATCCTGGACCTCCTCGGACTTGTCACCGTGTAAAATGGCAGCTTGGACAGCAGCTCCGTAAGCTACAGCCTCGTCAGGGTTAATGGACTTGTTGAGTTCCTTGCCATTGAAGAAGTCCTGGAGGAGCTTTTGGATTTTGGGAATACGTGTCGATCCGCCAACAAGGACGATGTCGTGAATGTGCGCCTTGTCCATTTTGGCGTCGCGAAGTGACTTCTCCACAGGCTCGAGAGTGCCTCTGAAGAGGTCGGCGCACAGCTCCTCGAAGCGGGCCCTGGTAATGGACGTATAGAAGTCGATTCCTTCGTAAAGGGAATCGATCTCGATGCTCGCCTGGGTCGAGGAGGAGAGGGTGCGCTTGGCACGCTCGCAGCTCGTGCGCAAACGACGCAGGGCGCGCTTATTCGACAGCAGGTCCTTTTTGTATTTGCGCTTGAATTCCTGAACGAAGTGGTTGACCATGCGATTGTCAAAGTCCTCGCCACCAAGATGCGTGTCACCGGCCGTCGACTTCACTTCGAAGATACCGTCCTCGATGGTGAGGATGGAGACGTCGAAGGTACCACCGCCCAGATCGAAGATAAGGACGTTGCGCTCACCCACGGCCTTCTTGTCGAGACCGTAGGCGATGGCTGCGGCGGTGGGTTCGTTGATGATTCGCAGCACATTTAAACCCGAGATGGTACCGGCGTCCTTGGTTGCCTGACGCTGCGAGTCGTTGAAGTAAGCGGGTACGGTGATCACGGCATTGGTGACGGTCTGGCCAAGGTAGGCCTCGGCCGTCTCCTTCATCTTTACCAAAACCATCGAGCTCACTTCTTCGGGGAAGAAGGTCTTCGTTTCTCCTTTATACTGGACTTGGATCTTTGGCTTGCTGCCGTCGCTAATCACCGTGAACGGCCAATGCTTCATGTCGCCCTGGACGGTCGTGTCCTCGAAGCGACGACCGATCAGTCGTTTAGCATCTGCAATGGCGACCCGAGCACCACACGTCAGTCATTATCATTCAAATTCCGAGCTCGATGTATTTTCTTCATTCTCGTTCTCGTCAGCGAACGCAACGTTACATCGTCTCACCCACCCACCCCCCTCCCCCACCCATCGCTCATCACCGATCTCTACCTCTACACCACCGCCGCCGCATCGCCACCTCTACCTATACATTCTCTCCCCACCCCCTCCTTCCACCCACCCCACCACCAC